GTTATTTTCGTTATAGCCAATGTCACACAAGGACGTTCGAGAGGTCTAAATGCGAAAAAGCCGTAAGTGGAAATGTTGGCAAGTAGTTGAAAATGTGGAAGGGATGATATAGAAAAGATTTCCACCATGCGCGTACAGACAATTATATAGCTACGGGGAAGCTTTCCTTTTTTTTCGGACCTTTATCAACATTATTGCACAGCCTGACCGAATTCCCCTCAATACGTTCCTAGACGGGATAACGGACAGTAACATTACCGAAGACGTCTGTATGTATTCATTACTTAACAAGTACGGAAACCCACTACGGATAAAGATTACACCGGATTCTCTCTGACTTTGTATTATTTTCCTGGTAATGGTTTACAAGTAAGAATCCGGAACAACCTTCCTAGCAATGCGGCCAAATCCCCTGTCGTTAACTGCTTTAGAATCCGTCGAAAGATTAAATAGATACATGTATGTTCCAGTCACCAATCAAGTTTTCCCCCGCCTGTTACCAGTAACCGAAAGTGACATATTATTTGTAAATTCAGACCTCTGTAAAATGTCCATGTCTCTGTTACCGAACCTTATGAAAAGCTTTTTATTACTTGTGTTACGTTCCTTTTAGGTAAATTAACAACTACCTGTCTGTTGCGTCAACCTCGGGTACTTGTATGTTTTACGTCACTTTCGGGTAAATTATCTTATCTGTGTTACGTCATTACATGTAAATTGCTTGCATGTGTTACGACTCTATCAGGTAAATTGCTCGTCTGTGTATTATTATATCATCATATTTATTATACTGTTGTTAATTTTAAGCATAGGCAAACGTTAGCCAAGTTCCGTTGCGGTAATTGAAAATTGAAAAATGAGACTGGCCGGTATTCTCGCCCTCATTTAGCCTTAAATAAAAGGAAATGTATTTTAGCATATCAGTCAGAATCGGTGGAAGACGAGCGCCCTGTTTTAATAGATTGTGAGTTTTATTCTGATATAAGGAGAGTTTTTTTGAGTAGTGTCCAAAGTTTTTAGAATTAGACCCTACGAGCAATCTTATTTTTTTATGACAAGTTATGGTCTTCAACCTATTTTAGCTTCTTCCCTATATTTGATGTATCGCAGAATATCTTGTTTTACCTATGTTTAACAGAACTTTTTACTTTATTGTGTCTCATAAGTCAAACTGGCTTGATGTCAGTATATTTTAATACAGTTTTTAAAATGTTCATGACTTCTTATGTATTGTATATACCTGTGATATTGACATGTGACACGTTAATACAATATATTGTATTGTATTGTGTATTGTATGTACCTGTGATATTGACATGAGTCACGTTAATACAATATATTGTATTGTATTGTGTATTGTATGTACATGTGATATTGGCATGTGACACGTTAATACAATATATTGTATTGTATTGTGTATTGTATGTACCTGTGATATTGACATGTGACACGTTAATACAATATATTGTATTGTATTGTGTATTGTATGTACCTGTGATATTGACATGTGACACGTTAATACAATATATTGTATTGTATTGTGTATTGTATGTACCTGTGATATTGACATGTGACACGTTAATACAATATATTGTATTGTATTGTGTATTGTATGTACCTGTGATATTGACATGTGACACGTTAATACAATATATTGTATTGTATTGTGTATTGTATGTACCTGTGATATTGACATGTGACACGTTAATACAATATATTGTATTGTATTGTGTATTGTATGTACCTGTGATATTGACATGTGACACGTTAATACAATATATTGTATTGTATTGTGTATTGTATGTACCTGTGATATTGACATGTGACACGTTAATACAATATATTGTATTGTATTGTGTATTGTATGTACCTGTGATATTGACATGTGACACGTTAATACAATATATTGTATTGTATTGTGTATTGTATGTACCTGTGATATTGACATGTGACACGTTAATACAATATATTGTATTGTGTATTGTATGTACCTGTGATATTGACATGTGACACGTTAATACAATATATTGTATTGTATGTACCTGTGATATTGACATGTGACACGTTAATACAATATATTGTATTGTATTGTGTATTATATGTACCTGTGATATTGACATGTGACACGTTAATACAATATATTGTATTGTGTATTGTATTGTATTGTGTATTGTATTGTATTATACTTCAAGGTATCCCAGCCAGCATTTCCCGTATTTTATACTGAATGCGGTTAGGAGATAGACTGTATGTATTTCACGTTGACATTACGATGTCCTTCATGTGTATCATGGTGCATGTGCCCTACTTAACCATGAACCTAACAACATGCGCATATTACATACCATACATACAGGTTTGCATCATGTCATTATTGCTGCACTTTTGTATCACAATTATGTTGACTACAAAACAGCGTTATTGATATCACACCTTACGTATTCACAAAATCACTTTGTCTAAGACAACCATTTTTTCAGTAATTTTTTCCCGAAAAACGCTTTATTTAGAGTGCCTAAATCTGAAAACCTGTATAAACCAGACACCTGTATAAACCTCACAATGGAGATCTTTATATACCAGGCCTCTGTTAAAACCTCACAATGGAGACCTGTATATACCAGACCTCTGTAAAAACCTGACAATGGAGACCTGTATGGACCAGGCCTCTGTCAAACCCTTACAATAGAGACTGGTATAAACCAGACCCCTGTCAAACCCTCACAATAGAGACCTGTTTATACCAGGACTCTGTAAAAACATCACAATGGAGACCCGTATAAACCAGAACCCTGTCAAACCCTCACAATGGAGACCAGTATAAACCAAGACTCTGTAAAAAAAACCTCACAATAGACACCTGAATAAACCAGGCCTCTGTCAAAACCTCGCAATGGATACCTTTATATACTAGGACTCTTAAAAAAACTCACAATGGAGACCTTTATATACCAGGCTTCTGTCAAAACCTCACAATGGAGACCTGTATAAACCAGGCCTTTATCAAAATCACATTAGAAACCTGTATAAACCAGACTCCTGTAAAAACCTCACATTCGAAACCTGTATGAACTTGACCCCTGTGAAGACCTCACATTGGAAACCTGTATAATCCAGACCCCTGTAAAATTCTCACTCTGTGAACGTATCTCCGTAAATCCAGACATTTGTATTAATCAGACATTGGTATAACCTAACCCTTGAAACCTGTAAAATCCAGACTGCTGTACAAACCGGACATTATTTGTATAAAACTCACTCTATGATCCTATATCATCCAGATATGTGTATACGTAACAGGAGATATTATTTTGTCGGTTGCGTCGCGAGAGATAGAAACTGCTGATAGTGTTGATGTTAGAACTTAGTAGTAGATATATATTCTTTGCTCAACCCTCAACCGGCAGTGGTGACTGGTCCCAGGGTGTGGTAGCGTTGATATATCAGGTTACTGATCGTACGGTAATAATGCGTTAAAATGTCAATTAACACATGAAATAGCCTGCATATGTCAATGTGTGTTATCTGTTCGTTTTGATGCATCACTCAGGACTGTCATTGGACCATTTCGCTAATGAATGATGCCGTGCGGTGTTTCTGTACAATGTTTGTAAACATATACTGCAAATGATTTGGCATATACAATAAATCACCAGCATGAACAAAATAACAACAACGAGTTAATTTGTATCTGTATTGAAGCTGGAGACTGTTCGCTGTCGAGGTTTTATTGTTATGGAAGCTGTCTCAGAACACGGAAGGACCACTGGGACATGATAACCTAAACTAAGGTGTTCTGAGTCATTTTACACGTTTGAGGGGTTAAGATCGACTTTATGTAAAAATTCAACCCCCAATATTAATGATGGTTATGTATTTTATAACACTTTCGTTTAGGTCCAAATAAAGCTGTTAACATTCACCGGTCTCTGTGGTAAGGACTTGACGAATGTAGTGCCGACTGGGTCAATCGCAGGCGCCCTGGTTGAGATCGCCCAGGTCCCGGTTTGGATTCCGGTCTGGCCGAGCATTTTCCCTTTTCTTCTGTTACACTTCTAATGATATCTAAGACCAAGTCGAGGCTCCAATGCTAACCCTGATTAAGTGTAAGCCAAATATACTGTTTCAGATTCTAGATGAGCGTTATCTTATATGACAATTTCTTTGAGTATTAAGTTGCATGATGGTGAACCTTGTTTAAGCTGTGCAAACACATTAAAGTATTGTACGCTCGACAGCGAAATACAACCTGCAACTTTGTACATCTATAGAGCTAAATAAGCTGTTGAAGATTTTCAGTAATATCTTGTTTTACTGCGATAGCTTATACGCGACAAAACTCTATTCAAACTACAAAATGAACATCAGATATAAAAAACAAACAAACACCACTAGTCCATAACAATTTTTTTTCTTAAAAATGAAAGTTAACATCTGAAAACTGTTTTTTTAGTACTATTTAAACCCATCTTTAAAAAGAAGAACCCGATTGAAAAGATAGATAGATTAATACAATTTTAAGACGAACTGCTATCCAGCGTATTGCTAATAGTGCCTATTCTGAAGCTATACGAAAGTGAACAAGGGGAAATAACTGTGATATAATGTCCATGGGTGATTTTATAATATGATGGGAAGTTTCAGAGGGATATTTGTGCCCATCATTAAAGATATTCATTACCCCTGTGTAAGTTTAATATTTTCCCTTTCTGTCTTTTATGCTCGGTCTGGTTAAGCTACTGTCAGCACGGAATTACATTTTTATTAAGTCCGTGCTGTTAATCTTATCGACAGAAAATAATATATCAACTTTTTATCAAATGTTTTTTGCCACTGTCCTGTGTAAATGAAGTTCATGTATCTATTTCACTGTGTTTCAAAAAATTAGTTAGGCCAATGTGTCGCATGTATGTATTTGCACAGTTGTTGATCTATAAGAGACTTTTAAGCCAACCGATCCGGGTTGTTTGTGAGACGGATATTACTTTCGCAAAAGCTTCAGTCGAGGTTGTAACCACGCTTAGCTTAAAACGCTATCCATTGAAAACATTTAAAAGACTGATTGAATGGAGATGTTGCTGCTGTCGGCTGTCGATAGGCCTATGAGGCTGGGAAAACTTGATGCATAACGATGAACAGGTATCCTGGTGTTTACATTTGTTAAACAAGTTGGCAGTCAAACTTTCTGAATCAAAATAAGAGAGCATGTTGTATATTGCTAAAGAAAAAGATGCCAACTGACGGTTGGACATCATTGCTGTTGATGGCGGGTTTCTCTGCTTGCTTACATTCTGACTATAGTCTACCACTCTTCAAACCTCATCCCTTTATGATATACAATCCAATGTATACAATATGGGGGTTTGAGTAGCCAGTTGGTCATAACATTGTCTGTGCTTAGTACTCCTGACTGTAACTACAGGACTCTTGAAATTGCTTAACGATAATGATCGTGATGTTACGGTTACAGAAAATATTGTGCTTCCATCGGGGATCGAACCCGCAATCCCATAATTGCTAGTCGGATGCCCTTACTCTACCACTGAGCTTAAACGAATTTCCCTCTAGTGTTATACAGGTCCAGTACACCCTGCCGTTTGAGCTATATAGCTATAAAGACCTATATTATATAGCTATATTCACCTATAAATTATAGCTGTATTAAGCTATATTTTCTCAGATTTCAATTTTCATTAAATTAAAGGAAAGTCGCATAAAACAATAAGGTTTATAGTAATGTTGACTACAAAAAGCATACATTTAGATGTTTATTTTCATTTTTCATAAATGTTAAATTTTCGAGTTTTTTACATCATTATTTTTTAAAAAGAATGCTTATATTTAATGTCTTTTATTATCTACCTAATGATAAAATCTTCTTTTAAAAGCGACTTTGTTTCGTTTTCCTTAAAAAAGATAATCACATGAAAATAGCTCAAAAGACCTATATCAGATAGGTCAATAGAGCTATTATAGGTCTTTACAGCTATATAGCTCAATCGGCAGAGTGTACTGGACCTGTTATATACATGGTATATATTATATTATAACCATCAATAGAATATCCGTAATCAACCTTTTTTGTGTATTATTGTATTCCGTCTCCGTATCTTGTTTCTATGTTTTGTTATTTGACTTCCTGTTCCGGGAATAAAATGAAAAGTTGAAGAGTGAAGTTGTTTCGATTCATCTCTTAATAATTTTCTCACATCGCAATCCCAGTACACTAGCGCAAGGCTAGAAGGCGACCGTGTCCCTATATTCAATTAAAATGTGCCACACTTCTCCCCCTTTTTTTAAAATGTGTTAGCCCTCAAACACCATAACAACCCAGATTCTAACTACCTATCACCACAGGAACGGTTTCAGACTCCAAAGGACAGAGAGTAATGTGCTTCAACAGGGGTTTGAACCCGCGATCCCAAACTTCCTAGTTGGACGATCTACCACTGAGCTGAAGGGAAACTCCCTCTAGCACGAAGCTACATGTAGAAGGCGACGGTAATCCTATGTACAATTAAAACCTACATTACCATGACTTTTACCCACATTGTAAAGTAATTATTACAAATTAGCCTAAGTTCTAAAAACGTACATACTGTAGTACCATTATCTAGCTGGTTGTAGTATTTATATCTGATGCACAAACACTGCAGAGATGCTTGGACAGTTGGCTACATTGGAGGGGAAAGCCCTCCACCCACAAGGTTCTCTCCATCTCCATCTTATTGTAATGTACGGGCAGTCACCTATTTAACTACTTAGCACGCTCAACATTGCTGAACTAGTGAGCAGGTCCTCGGGTTCTACCACATCACTGAAAAAGCTAGCTAGCTTGCCAGTAAGGTAGTATTTCCCCTCAAATTCATTAGATGTTACACTATTCCGCCCTCCAAGAAGTCTCGTCCCAAGACTTTGCCTGGGGAATCGCATATTTCCTGCCTGTGTATCAATGCACCTTCCCTAACCACCAGAAACTGGTTTTACATGATTACACAGAATCCCACCGCTGCCACCAAATGTAACATATGGGTGGTCACCACCCATCCACCTACTAACCACGCTCAATGTTGCTGAACTGGTTAGCGGGTCCTTGGGCTATACAGCATCACTGGAAAAGCTAGCTTGCCAGTAAGAGAGTGATTTTCCCTCAAATTCATTGGATGTTACACTATCATATCCACAGTTATATACCTGGGCTCTCCAATAGGAAAAAATATTTCGGTATCTCAATAACATCATTTAACAATGTGATGCAATGTCACCAACATAACAAAGAGTCAAGCTTTATCTATGCTTGGCTTTTTCAGATAAAAACCTAAAACAAAGTGAGCTGTGTGCTTCCTTTGTGTACTGGTGAGATTTGAAAAAAAAATTGTTTTTCTTGTTATAGAAGTTTTATCTTGTATGGCTTTAAACATAAAAAAAAAAGCTTCTAAATAACAGTTGTCACATTTTATATTTCAGGAAAATCTCTACATAGTAAGGGTATAAATTGAGTGCAGTATGGAAGAGAGCATCTGTCCCCTGGAGATTGAGGTGCCAGGGTTCCAGTGTGGGTTAATGAGGACACTGTATGGCCTGTGGCGTGGGAGTCAGCTGTGTGATGCTGTCATACATACAGGCAATGGTAGTGTAGAGGCTCACAGAGCAGTGCTGTGTGCCGCTAGTCCATACATACACAACATGGAGGCCAGTGACACTCAGCAGTTCAGAGTCTCCCACTACCACCTACCAGTAGGGCGGCTAGAGGATGTCACGGTTATGCTCAGGTTGTTTTACACAGGAAAGTTTGCCATTTCATCAGAAAACGTCGAGAACATCTTGCAGCTCTGTATGTTTCTACAAGTAGGAAAGGCTGTTGAAGTATGTCAGAGATTCTTCAGTGGATGGCATTCTTATAAAGAACACACAGTGACTAACTTTCAGGAAAGTTTATTTTCACAAGAGAATAAACTTGGTCTAAGAGATGGATCATCAACAGGAAATGTACCAGTAGGTATTGGTATCCCGGACTACACCCGCCTTCCCAACACACATACAAGTCAAACTAATGGAACCGTTAGAGAAAATACAAGTCATGATCCACGAAATATACATCCAGAACAACACTGTATGCTAATGGATAGAAACCAAGGAGCGGCAATAGATATAGCTAATATACAACATGATGTTCAAATGTGTGGACCTCAGGAAAATAATATTTCAATTTTAAGTGATAGTGCTTTTCATGAAGGTCAAAGGTCAGTTGCTAATGTTTCTCACTCAGATCCAGGGTTAACAGATCTTCAGGAAATTCAGAGGCCAGAAACTGGTGCCTCTCTTGATGGTCAAGGATCAGCAAGAATTCCAAAAGATTGTGTTGGGGATGCTGAGCTATTGACTCCCACTTTGTTAACAGGTGATGTTGCCAACTTGCCAGGTTCATCAACTTTAGGTAGACACCAGTGTGTGGGTTCTGTTGTAAGTGAAGAAGTGACGAGGGAAGAAAGAGAAAATATTGGAAATTCTCAGACATCAGATAACTTAAACACAGCACCCACATCACCAACTTGTTTTAGCCCTGAAATATCTGATTCTGACAATGAATGTATTTCAGATGATCTCACATCACATCAAAACGGGTCTATTAGATGTAGAGACTGCAATGAGGAGGTTCAAAATAGAACCTGCTTAGCTCAACACAAAAAATATTGTCATCCAAAATCATCAGAGCTTGTCACACCCAATTCAACAAGTATAAATGAAGAGACAGGAAGTTCCTTAGAATATAATGCAGATAAAGCTAATGACCCTTGTTCTGATTCTAGAAGAAACATAAAAAATATGAAAGTGGAAGAGACAACTGAAAGTAAAACAATAGGTTCATGTTCACTTCGCTCTAATTCAAGGTCTAATCCTCAAGTAGAAATATTGAAAAACAGCAAATCTTCAAGAAAGAGAAAATTAAAATCATCTGCAGAGGAAAAGAACCAGAAAAAAAATGACACAAGCAAAAGTAAGACAAAGAATAAAAAAAATTGTGACTCGCTTCAAGTTGCAACCAGAACTAGGATGAAGAGGAGCAACAAGGACACCAAGCAGCTGGATCAGGCACTCTGGACATGTGCTTTCTGTAAGCTGGTGTTCAGTTCAAAGTTGGACCGTGCCAAACACAGACGACAGGTCCACAAACCCGACAGTTATAACTGTGCAGCCTGTAAGACCACCTTCTCCTTACCACGCCAACTCAAGGCCCACAAGGAGCAAGCCCACCCTGAGAGGATCAGGTGTTTTAAGTGTGAGAATCATCCCACCTTCTCCACAGTCAGTGAACTAGAAAACCATCGTAGGAATCAGCACGTCAGAGATCAGACCATTAGATGTAGAATCTGCAGGGAAATATTTGAAACGAAAGAGGCTAAAAACAATCATGTGAAAACTGTTCATCCTTGTGGAAAGAATTGTCCTGAGTGTAACACAAAGTTTGATAACTGGAAACATCTTGTTGACCACCGTAACCATAAACACGATGTTCCATTTGAGGTTAACAAGTATGAAATCTTTCGGTGTGATATTGAGGTAAGTTTTTATTGTTTAAGCTGTAGATCCTGCTTGAGCTTTAGGTTTTATTTTAGATATAGGTAATACTTTGAAAATCCTCATTGGAAATATAGATTTGATTTTAGATTTACTTCGGTAGTGTTAGAGCTGTAGCTATTTTTTGCGATGCAGATATTGTTTAAACTGAAGGTACAATGATTATCCTCTATGGAAAAGCAATTTCATTGATAATTATTTTATTATGAAGTTGAAACTCTATTCTTTGATGTGGTGAACTCCTCCTTAGTTTTTCTGATACTATAATTATGATATATTGTACAGGGTTGTGACTACCAGACAGTGGACAAGTACCGGTTCCTGTGCCACAAGAGGGACGTCCATTGTGGGGACCGCACTCATACTTGCCATACATGTAACTCGACGTTTAAGAGCCAGCGTGCCCTGAAATCCCACCAGGAGGTTCACCTTGACCGTGACCAGAGGAACGGATCTCAGTGCGACCAGTGTGGCAAGAAGTTTCTCTCTGTTGCCTACCTCAAGGTAAAGCTATGGGGTGACATTTGTCAGAGCAAAAACATCAATCATTATTATACCAGAATTGATTGTTTACTATGTAAGCTTGTGAATTAAAACTATCCAAAACCATTATATGACAGAGGAGCATTACTAAACTTATTGACTTGTATTTGGCGACCGTTAAAATTTGAATGCGTTTGAGTGTTTTATGATGGAGTAAGTGTTATATTTACAGACTCACATTGAAACCATGCACAGTGTAGAGAAGAAGCCGATAAAGAAGCAGTTCCTGTGCCACCTGTGTCCTAACAGCTTCAGGGACAAACACTTCTTCCACAGTCACATGCTGCGAGCACATGAGGTGGCGCCCCCTGCTGACCTCAAACTGTACGTTATTACTGTATCAATTAGTCTGTACCCAATTAGTGGTCAGTCTGTACCAGTTAGCATGTACCCATTAGTATGCATCGGTTAATTAATGATTAGTATTTATCTAGTCCCAGGATATTTTGGACCTGATCAAATTAGTCTGTGTAGATTATGTTCCTTTTTCTAGTCTGTATGCAGTAGTTTTTAGCTGAGTAGTACAACTCAAATAGTCTCTACCAAACTCTAGATTTATCAATGCCCTCTCTTTTTTCAGACACAGATGTACACACTGTGACTTCTTCACAGTTCAGAAATCACATTTAAGGAAACATATGAGGCACCATTCTACAGGTAATGATTGACATATGACTTAAAACATCCTCAATACTCTAGTGGATACGCTCACATTCGCTCTCTGCACTCCTGAAGTATGTCATAGCAAAATTTCAGGCTAAGTTTGCGCCACCTTGTGGATGAGACGAGAAGGCTAGTTGGGTCCTTTCATGTACATAAAAAAGAATCTCGCGGTCGTATAACAGTAAAAATTGACAGGCTTTGAAGTCGGGCGTCTCTCCTTCGTAATCTTCAAAGGACTGGTATCAGTCTAGCGATTGGTCAGGATTTATCACCTGAGACCAATCAAATAGATAACTGTGTGCCTTCAATTTTGCTATGACATATTCCAGGGGTGCAGAGAGCAAAAGTGAGCACAACACCAGTAGTATTGAGGATTGACTTAAAAGGGATATACATTTATGTACTATTGCAGAAATACTTTTTATCACATAATCGGCCAGTTATCCAGTGAATTCGCCTGTGTAATATTTTTACATATGTCACTAGTGTAATATACCCTGGAGCGTTTTTCATTGGCTGTGCCAATCGATTGTGACGTCATATGGACAATGACGTGACGTCATAAATTGTGAATGGCGCAACAAAATGGCTGTCTCCGTTTGATTAAGTCCTCTACATTTTGGCTTTAAAACCTGTCAAAATGTAAGTTTTCTGATTAATGTAAAAAAAGAAAGTATCTTAAATTTTTACAATATGAACTTTTATGAAACTCGTCTCGAAGTTTTTTTGTTTTTTCTAATTCTTAAGTTAAGGACTCTGTAGTGGTCCACAAATTAATTTGTGATCATGCTGTGTGATACAGCTTTTGTATTCTTTCCCTGATCCAGCACAGGTGTCAATGTTATGGAAATGTCGAGTTTCTTGATATTTTGCATAAAATGGTTGTTGGTTCAAAAACGATTTACTTGAAAATATAAAAAATAGTATGTTTCATTTGTAAATTTAACATGATACATATATTGATAATGAAATTCTGTTTGTTTTAGGAGCTAAAGAATATGAATGTAACTCATGTGGAAAGAAGTTTTTGACAGAGGACTGTTTAGGACGACACATGCAAAGACATCGTATGTATATTATCACATTCCAATTCCCTGTTACCTAGGGTACATTCGCGTATCCGGTTGAAACGGTTGAACCTGTAAAGAAAAGGACAGGTACATATCTGAACCAAGACTAACCTCAGGAAAATTTGAGACGTGTAGATTGAGGGGTCCAGACGCACCTGACCGAAACTAATATGCTGCCTATTGCTAGTTTGCATTATTTCTTTCTAAAACAATGTCAAGCCACATGTAGTTTTTAAGATACGTTATGTAATTCAGTGGACGCATGAAAGAAGGGCATAATATTCTTGATACATTATCTTTTATTCTCCGAAACTGTGCATTTTTAGCTTTGCTTATAGAACGGTCCAAGTGCGTTCGTTTATTGTGGAATATTTCTGCGCAACACATACCATTTCAACCGGGATACGCGAATGTAGCCCTAGCATCCCTGACCAAATCCAGCCATAATTTACCTGAGAGAATCCAGGATATTCTGGTTCTGACTTCTTAAAGCGTTATAATCTCATTGTTCACATGGAATGGAGGCTCATGTTTAAAGCTTACTAGACAATAAGTGTGTTGACCAAACACATCGTCAAAAGAAACTTTAAAAGGGCATTATCAAAGATATACTGGATGGTGTTCAATGAGTGTTGCTATGCTTTCTTCTTTTGTTTTCAGAAATGAAGGATGAGTTCTGTCCTATACCAGGATGTGGCTATTCCACCAAGTATAAGAGTAATCTGAAAAACCATGTAGCACGCATACACACACAGAAGGTACATCCACGCAATTTTATATACTTTCATAAAGAAGATACTATTTTCTGTCCATTTTTTATTAAATCCACAAACTTCTGTTTGACGTGGCAGAAATATTTATAAATATAGTTAAGCAGTATCAAAAGGTACACATGAGTGAATTCAACAGTCGACAAGGCCAATCGACAAAAAATTGGAGTAAATCTATTTGATGTCTATAATGTACATTGGTTTGTAACAATAAACACATCAGTTTTAATGCCCTAGTAGTTTTTCTTGATTCAACAACAAATTGTTTAGAACCTAAAATGATTTCCTGTCTGTTTGTGCTAATAATCTTGTATCTGTTTCCATCACAGGATCTGAAACCGTTCCTGTGTCCCTACTGTGACTACAGATGTAAGGAGAAGGGCAACCTCAACAAACACATCACAGGCAAGCACAAAATGGAGGTGGTGACAGTGGCCAAGCTAAGGAAGAACGCCATCAAAACAGGCACAGGCTATCCCAACTTTGTCACCATGTCCCAGTCTAACGCTGCGGCATCCTACTCCGACGAGGAAAACGCTGGAAGCCAAGTAAACCTAGGGACGAACGTGTCATCTTCCTGTGATCAGTATCAAGTTGACTACAGTAGGCAGGTCTACAGTGGGGCCATGTGACAAAGTGTCCAGTCCGGAGAGAAACCTTAGGGACAGGGCAGGGCTGTCTTTGGAACGTGAAAGTACACCGTGTACTTATATGACATTTATTGGGTGGGGGGTAAATTGAAAGCAGAATATGAGTTGTATAAAAGATGTATAACTAATGGATTAATAATGTATGATTTTATTAATTTTTATCGTTTTCTATTATAGTATTTAAAACATGGAGGAGGGCATGTTTACAAAACGTAATACAAATGTACAGTAAAACCTTATTATAATACAACTCATTTCAGTTACGACCTTAGTTAGTGCCAATGCATCTCAAGGACCCTGTTTCCTTTTTTCAAAACAATCAATTTTATGTATTTCTCGAAACTCCCCATGCCCTCTTTATAACGCGAAAATTTTGCTGCACAGATGGTGTCAATGTAATAAGGTTTTACTGTGAATTCATTTTTATATATACAGATGTATCTCAGGAATAATATGTGCCAAGCTTTACCAATCTAGTCAAACTGCTTTCCTTGTGTCAAAATGCTCCCTTTTATCGTCATTTGTATTGATGTTATGAAGTATATCTTAATTGTATTGATATTAAAAGTGATGTTTTACTTCGTGTACAGCTGTGCTTGTATACAGTTAAAATGTGGACGATTGAAATCATACGCAAATTACTTTGTGTACAGCTGTGCTTGTATACAGTTAAAATGTGGACGATTGAAATCATACGCAAATCACCCAACTCCTATAACATATAAGAGGCCGCTGGTCGGCCTTTTTTTCTATTGGATATGAATTTGCCGACTGTGACTGTTACACGGCGCCTGTCAAAGGTAAACCTCTAACACTGTTGCTTTGAAACTCACAGATACTTGCAGGATTCCTTCATTGTACGTTTGTTCAATATGAAATACATCGTAGCCATCATCAAGCTGAGTTTCTTCTGGCTCCAATACCAGACTTCTGATATTTTTACATGTAGGTCTATCAGAACTTAAAATGTCTGATGTTTTGGGTCGAGGAAACTTAGCTAGCTATCTTAAGCCTGTCAAAAAGCTGTTAATATCCTTATAAAAGTGTGTAAAGGTAGGTATTCTGTCAGACCTGATAAACAATTAAAATGTTATTATGGTGCTGATCAGAAATTGGTCATATAATGTTCAAACAGGACTATCCCTGTACCGACGTATGTTGTAATAAAATTGTAAGTGAATTATCACAGTACTGGACTTCAGGTTAGCAAGAAGTATAGGGTCACAGGCAGAGGCGTACAAATCATGTTTGAAATATTATAAAACAATCTTTATTCTCTTGACAGACAAATTTTTGCTTAATTGACATCATGAAAAAGTAAAGAGCTTTGTAGATTTTGCAAATCTGCACATTTTCAATCAAATAAATAGATTCTTTTTTTGCATATAATGTACACAGAAACTTTTGAGTCACATTGGCAAGAGTGCATGCCTTGTGTTATGGTTACACATATTTGGAATATAACTGAACAACATTTACTATGTTTGTGGCCAAATTTATTTGATATTTGTTTTTTGATTTTCCCCCCAAAAATTTACAGCCTTTAGAGAATAACATTTTGTTTGTGCCATTAGTTATCGTGAAGATCTGAATTAAAAAAAAGCCTTTTTACAGCTTGATTTGGACATTAAAGCTGTTTGTAAATGTTTATCTATGCAACTATTCAGCAATGTGATATTTTCTAGCCAGAGTTTCAACAGGTGTTGTGCACGTAACATTTCCAAAGATCAATCAGGCTTTGAATTTATTTATTTCTGGATTAAGTCATGCATTCATCATGTTTTATTTTAGAGTATGCCATTACCGATATATGTTGTACTATGCTGTAGATTCATTGTGACTTGAGAGAAAATGATAATACATCCTAACCAAAATTTGCCTTTACACAAATATGCTTCGAATTAAAAGTATAAAATAATAATAGATAATTGGCTTTGTTGTGCTATAAAGAATGCAAAACTGTCATGTTTTTTTATACCACTGGTAGAGATAGATATGGAAGTCAAGTGATACAATGTTGCTAGTTCAACATTGATTATTAATGTACTGAAAATAAAGGTTGTTGTGCTGATGTAAATAGTGACAATGTATATTTAGTAGCTTATCCCATAACTTACTCTACAGAATGAATATTGTTACTTTACATGATATGGATTTTTGTTGGATGATTTTCAAATAACGGTTGAATTTTAGTAAAAATAATTTAAACACACTTGATAATGTGATAACAGTGAGCTATACAGATCCAGTATTTTTATCACTCCCCTGCTTGGTTGGGCATGTCCAGATGATAGCTTGAATGATCACACAAAGTCCAAATTTTGTATGTTGTTTGCCGAAGTGGATGCAATGAACCCTATTGATTTTGGGTGGGGTGCCCCGGAGGTCAATGTCATTGTTACTAAAACTAGAGTTCTGCTTGGTTGGGTTTGCCTGGATGATAACTTGAGAACGAATGATTATACAAAGTTCAAATTTTATGAACATGATACCCCAGGGGGCTGTCATTACTCCAGGCCTACGGGACCTTAAAAAGTTGTTTCACACATTTACTCCTGTAACCAAGAAAGTGGGTAAGGTCATTTGCTTGGACGGACTTGATAGCGTCTCATTCCAGCAAGCTACCTGCTGAATGTCAAATATCTGTTAAATGAGTAGACTTCTGTGACCTTGAAAGTGAATAAAGTTCATTTATTTGAACTAACTCTTATTGCCCTTCACTCCAGTTTCCTAGTGTGCCTTTTAAACTCTGAAATTAGCAACATGGTAAAATGAAGGAATTGTTTTATAACTCGCAATACCTAGTAAATGTCGATGAGCATGACAAAGGGACATAATCCAAAGGTCTTGCAGTTCTGGTCAGTGTTGTAAAGATCCAGGGGATGTGTTAAGTGTTCAACGATATATCATCACAAGACTGGGAATGCCTTGGAACATTAAAACAAACGCCTCAATTCTCCATAATATTTTAATGGTGTAAACTGACATTCATACAAAACAGACATGTACAACAATGTATAAAATAAAATTGGTAGTCAGGGAAGGCTAATAACTCATCTTAACAGTCTCTTCAACAAGAAGTGAATACTTTAGTAGAATATTCAGATTTGTTATTGTCAATATGAGAGTTTACAATATATCTTCCATCTTTATGCAACATTTTTTTTTCCAAATTTTGTATTATATAAGAAATGTTTTAATTCTTGAATAAAGATGGAATGATAAATTAATCAGTTGTAACCCATTTAACATCAATATTTAAAGATACTAGTGAGTTTATCACAAGATTTACTTACGACAAAAAGAACGTTTATAGTAGGATTCTATATATACATTTATTATAGGGAAGAAATAGGTAAACAACTAGATAAAAGGAGTAAGTTGTAATATACTTAAATATACTTAAACCTTTTGTGAAACACACTATCGTAAATATACTTGTAACCCTTTCATCCCTATGTAACTTTAGTAGACTCTACCATGCATTGATCTGGAAGAGTCCATTATGGTCTACAGTGGTGAAAGGGTTAATAGTGCAAAGCACCACAGGAAAATTGCTTATTTCACAGATATAATATTTCACAAGGTTTTAATTGCAAGAATGATTTGTAGAGTAAACAGTTATGTGTTTTAAACCCATTGATTCGCTACTTTGATGCTTCTGCTAATTATTTTACAGTATGACGGTAAGATATAACAGTTTATACCTATATCACTGTAATACAGTTGTCACCATGGTTAAAGTTTCAGTAAAAGGTTTAAAAATAAACTTATTAAAATAGTTTTAACAAAACTGAATTCAAACTTAATATTCACTCAAGATTTCACCTTTCACATCCCACATATTTCTTTCGCACCATCAATATAAACAGTTATACAAACGTGTAAATTGTGTAGTCAACTACGGTAAAAATATGTATGCTATCTTTCCATTGATGTTACAAATAAAATGGAATATAAGCAAAAGGAAAATATATCTCTAAAAAATCTAACAATGAAACTAAATAAGGTAAAAAGCGGAATGATGAAAACAGCCAGGAGGTATCTAAACATGGTTAAAATGAGATGCTACATTTCACAAATCACAATATTAATTAAAAACTCATCATTTAAATATTTCTTAAGTGCATGATGTGAATGAAAATTCGTTGACACTGTATTTTACTGCTCGGTTGAAATCTTCAAAATGTTTGGAGACATTCTCTTTAGTTAGAACTATTTGTAGTAGATGTTATTTCACTTTAAAAACTGTTATATATACCATGTACCTTGTATTAAGGGTAAATAGGTGGGTAAGACGATTTCTTACCTTGTATTAAGGGTAAATAGGTGGGTAAGACGATTTCATACATTCTTCACTTTAGCCATATATCTGTTATTCTATTTTTACATATAATTATATTTATGTCATTGTTACAGTGTAAACAAGCAAATCAACCAATAAATAAAATAAAATAGAATTTGGTGCTTCTTAGAGAGTTTCAGTGTAGCACTTCAGAATTACACACTCTTTGTTTTCTATTTATAATACACTGTAACACACCGTTATTGTTAAAAGTCATCTTGAAACTCCTTCATAAATATATTGTCCCTTGTTGCAGAGTTAAACACTGGACTTGCCTAACAAAAGTCAGAAACACTTAATCATGCTTGTCTAGTCAAATCCTTTACTTTAAATGTATATAATGATGGCAAAAAATAAACCTAAGTACGAAGAACATAGCATAAGAGTTTAAGTGGTGGGTATTGAAAAGCCTCCTTGTAGAATTCAATAAATTTTCAACAAATATTTTGTGATACTATAAATGGGAAAATGATAAACATTTGTACAGCGACTTGATGAGAAGCCATTTCATGGCGGATCTGTGACTTTGAATAATACATTACTTGTAAATCATACCGTATAAACTAGGTATATTTTTCAATACACAAAAACTTTTCTAATACATCTCAATAATGATCGAACCTTAAGCAGTAATCAATATAACATACAACTAAGTAAAACACACATGTAGAACCACAAGCAGACACAAACATTCTTGCACAATTGCCCTCAGCCAAACTGCTAAATTTGCGTTCATTTATAATAAAATGTTGACATCTACTTTCTGTATTTCCTATCACGATGGATCTGCATTGATGGATACACCTTATCCAATACTATCCTATACCATATACCCTAGCAATAGGAGGAATCATTATATTTCAACTTTGTTTCATGGGAATGAATAAAAAAAATACGAAAAATATTTCTACCTATTTTGATACAGAAGTTATTATATTATAATGCAGAGAAGCATTAATCATACTCAAAACACTTTTTAAAAGTAATGAATAGTTCATGTTCTTTATAATAAGTTTCAATAACATACAGTTATCAAAAATTCCTACAAAATATGACATTTATAAAAAAAAAAAACTTTTCTGAGAAACAGGTAAAAAGGCATAAATACCTTTTAAAATGAACTGTATATAAAATTCAGGAGATTTTTATACTGGTGACTAGATACTCAGGCTCAAATATAATTTACCTTAACAATTGGGATTAGTATAAACAAGCAAATAGAAACTTCCCAATAAAATATAGTATTATAAAATATTGTGGGTGTTATACATGGTAATACACTGGAAAAAGTTTTATAGAAATTGATGAAAATTTGATAAATGCCTAGTGGTCAATTTATGTTATCTTTGACAGAAGCTAATGAGGATAAAACAGAGGAGATTGGCGATGATCGACGTTACTGCGATCTCGGGGGATGGACTATGGAAGGGGGCCTTGGCGCTGCAGGGGACAGCCAAATGACTGTTAGAACTGATCACATTGTAGGGCTGCTCCTCTGGCGGACAGGTGATACCCGACTTCTACAATGTATACCAAATCTTACATGAGTTTCCATTTCAAATGAAATTTATCACGCAGGTCCAGTTGGCCCTAAATGACTTATGTACTATAAAACAAAACAAGACGAACAGGTCTGCAAATTTTCAGTTAAGCGTCCCAGAAGTAATGATGATTAACATAAGTTTAGTAGTTTTCAACTTGATTGATCTTGTGGGGGACCTTACTTACCTGACACATTTCTGTACAGGAGGGACAGATGACCGACCCTGTATGTAGGTAATGGTTTGAAGTGTAGGTGACCGCTACCCTCTGACCTTCCTTGACACATCGGTGAGACTGACCACCAATGTTCAGTACCAGTCCAGCTTGTCTACTGCATTGGAACTGCAACAGCCATTGTATAGCTCTGTACTTCATGACAGATTCAGACATGTACATGTGTATCAGTGTCTCTTTAAATGACTTTTATTAGCCGTGTAACACAGCCTATTAACTCATTTAATATTGATCTAGTTGTTGCATAGTTAGTGGCTATTATCTTATTGTCCATACAGTTGATGTATATGAAATGTGCATTTATTTGTTAAGAGAAATGATTTGTATTTTCCCCAATTTAAGTGGCTAATACTCCATAGATTGGTGCCTATCTTACTCTTAAAGCTTTACCCTAGATTGTATTCAGGAGCCAGAGTTTTCCCTTCATAAACCGACAGAACCTTAGTTTCCCTAAGGTGAAGCATGGACTTCAATATAACACCTTTTGAATCTTCTACCCCACAGACAAAATATACTAAAATATTGACACATTTGTGGGTAGGAATGACTTATATTATAACCCAATAGGGTTTAAAACATTAAATCTTTTCGAACACTGTATAGTGTCCCCGGTTCTCACCTGGTAGCAGCCACTGCCCCAGTGTGGAAGACTCAGCAGGCTGGAGCACTGTTGCAGTTTCCAGAGTCTATCATGGTTGAAACATTTGCTTTCATAGCCATACTTCTCCCCAAAGAAGCTGATGGTTGGATCTGCGCAGGCCAAATATATACATATATGTATAACATATGCTTTAAGTGGAACATTGCACATTGTACAAGATTAATATGTAAAAATGGGAAACAAAAATTCTACATTAACTGTAAACCCGAAAACCACACACAAAACCAATTGTCTATTGAAACATTTTACCCAGAAATAGACTTGCCCTCTTATTGTTTTAAAATTGCATCTATTTTCACTCTGTGTTGAATTTTTCCATTTTGTATGAGGGTGAAATGTGTGGCAATACGACAGGCATGAACCCAACCCCCACGCCAAGCATGTTACAGTGAGTACATGCATTATACTTGTATAAACATTAGCGTGTAATAAATATTGTATAGGGTCTTGTCAGTTTATAGACTTTTGACTGTTCCCTAAACCGTCGTATCATATGGCCTTAAGGTATTATACAATAATTTAACAATGTATACTGAATGAATCTTTATCAACAAAAATAAATAATTGAGTTATAAAAATATGTTAACTGAATATATTAATTGCTTTAGCCGAGTGTGACAAGGGAGAAAACTCCCAATAAGTGGTTAAGTTTACCAAATGTTGGAGAACAGAATTTGGCATTCCTAGGTGTTTTAGTATAGAAATTATGTTTCTGATATTCCTTTTTGTGATAAGCTCTGATAGTACCAGTGTGCACTAAACTCTGGTTGTACTGAAAGGGGGTTATCTCCCCTAGTACTGGGGGACACCAATAAAGATATCTAAATGAACGGCTATCAATATGTTTTGTTCAGTATGTAGTCCCATTTTAAAATATGGGTACATTCGCGTATCCAGTTGAACCGGTTGAACCTGTAAAGAAAACGTCAGGTACAGATCTGGATCGAGGCTGACCTCAGGAAAATTTGGCACGCGTAGATTGAGGGATCCAGACATACCTGCAGAAACTAAAATGTTGACTTTTGCCATTTTGCGTTATTTCTTTCTAAAACAATGTCAAGCCACATGTAGTTTTTACTTATGTAATTCAGTGGACGTGTGAGAGAAGGGCATAATATTCTCGATACATTGTTTTTTATTCTTCGAAACTGTGCATTTTTAGCTCTGCTTATAGAACGGTCCAAGTGCGTTCTTTTATCGTGGAAAATTTCTGCGCCACACGTACCGTTTCAACCAGTATACGCGAATGTAGCCTATGTCTATATTAACTAACCTGGATTGTTTTCCTCCAGCGAACACCTGGAATCTCTCACTGTCACCTCACCACTCCGCCATGCAAACTCCTGAAAAACAAATAAGGTCTCTTAGGTAAAACAAGACATTAACTGTACACTGTACGCCATATAAACCAGATTCTCTGCTTAATATGGATAAGTCTTGAAGTTCAATTATGGCAGTAACTTATCATAATTTAACTGTTGCATATTAGTTCCATAGATATGAAATATCTTTAAGAGATTTCTTTTTTCCTTAAATATTTTGTATAAAAATCTAGTAATCCCACAGAAGGATAGACAGCAGATATTCAAAGTCTTACCTGTTGGTATAGAAATGTATACCTGTAGTTATAGAAGTGTTTACCTGTTGGTATAGAAATGTATACCTGTAGTTATAGAAATGTTTACCTGTTGGTATAGAAATGTATACCTGTAGTTATAGAAGTTTTTACCTGTTGGTATAGAAATGTATACCTGTAGTTATAAAAGTGTTTACCTGTAGGTATAGAAATGTATACCTGTAGTTATAGAAGTTTTTACCTGTTGGTATAGAAATGTATACCTGTAGTTAAAGAAGTTTTTACCTGTAGGTTAAGGTATAGAAATGTATACCTGTAGTTACAGAAGTGTTTACCTGTTGGTATAGAAATGTATACCTGTAGTTAAAGAAGTTTTTACCTGTAGGTATAGAAATGTATACCTGTAGTTATTGAAGTTTTTACCTGTAGGTATAGAAATGTATACCTGTAGTTATAGAAGTTTTTACCTGTAGTTATAGAAATGTTTACCTGTTGGTATAGAAATGTATACCTGTAGTTATAGAAATGTTTACCTGTTTGTATAGAAATGTATACCTGTAGTTATAGAAGTTTTTACCTGTTGGTATAGAAATGTATACCTGTAGTTAAAGAAGTTTTTACCTGTAGGTATATAAATGTATACCTGTAGTTATTGAAGTTTTTACCTGTAGTTATAGAAATGTTTACCTGTTTGTATAGAAATGTATCCCTGTAGTTACAGAAGTGTTTACCTGTAGGTATAGAAATGTATACCTGTAGTTATAGAAATGTTTACCTGTTTGTATAGAAATGTATACCTGTAGTTATAGAAGTGTTTACCTGTTGGTATAGAAATGTATACCTGTAGTTATAGAAGTTTTTACCTGTAGGTATAGAAATGTATACCTGTAGTTACAGAAGTGTTTACCTGTAGGTATAGACATGTATACCTGTACTTATAGAAATGTTTACCTGTAGGTATAGAAATGTATACCTGTAGTTATAGAAGTTTTTACCTGTTGGTATAGAAATGTATACCTGTAGTTACAGAAGTGTTTACCTGTTGGTATAGGAATGTATACCTGTAGTTACAGAAGTTTTTACCTGTAGGTATAGGAATGTATACCTGTAGTTATAGAAGTTTTTACCTGTTGGTATAGGAATGTATACCAGTAGTTACAGAAGTGTTTACCTGTTGGTATAGAAATGTATACCTGTAGTTATAGAAGTTTTTACCTGTAGTTATAGAAGTTTTTACATGTTGGTATATGAATGTATACCAGTAGTTACAGAGGTGTTTACCTGTTGGAATAGAAATGTATACCTGTAGTTACAGAAGTGTTTACCTGTAGGTATAGGAGTGTTTACCTGTAGTTACAGAAGTGTTTACCTGTAGGTAAGGACAGTAGTCAGCCAGTGCCACAGAACCTCCATAATTCCCTACAGCATAGGCTGGTATACCATCCAGAGCATTGAAGTACTACAAGACAAGTGTAACACATTTATTGTGCATCATGGAGCCATATACATGGACCCTTTTGTCCGGAATTTGAAATTAACGGTGCCTCGATAGAATTAGTAAGGTATCAAAATCAGAAACTCTCCCCCATCCTGAACCCATGATTTATGTCACGGAAACATCACTTTTCAAGTGATGATGTATAATCTTTCCATTAAGATTTTTGATTATTAGAAAATGAAACATCCAATAATTAAATGAGGGATACCGATATGATCAGTAAACTGAAATACCTGGTACTGCTGTGGAAGACTGGTGTTATATTCCACCAGGTTACAGAAAGCCACAGAGTCCCTGTTTCTGGTACAGTCTGTCCTCAGTACCCCTCGCCGTACCTCGTCACAAAATGGGTGGATGTCACCACGTCTGTTAAAAGCATTCATAACACATTAAACATTTCATTTAACAGTGAAGCACATAAGCCTGCCCTAATACCTATTATAGTACACACAAACACGACACTTGTCCAATACATCATATCTGTCCTGAACAATTTATAACATCATTAACTTTATTTTACGTGATCACACTTGTGTGTGCAGGAACATGACTGACTGAACAACCAAACAAGATAGAAATACATACTTGGCTCTATTGCGGACAATCCAGTCCAGACAACTCCTCTTGACAAAGTCACAGCCCAGGTTTTTACCCCACTCCAGCTCCTCTGCATTGTTGTAATCCACACTGTACCACCTGTTGTTGGGTAAATATATCAAAACATATCATCAACACATATAGGATCTTACATGAGTTTCCATTTTATATGAGATTTATGAAATGAGTCAAAGAATTTAGCGAGCCTCAGGTGAGCTAAAATGAAAAATTTGTGACGAGTTTCATAATTTTCATATGAAATGAAAACGAGTGTAAGATCATTTTTATCACATTATCAAGATTGTGGCATCTATTTTCGTATAAAACGCAAACTTGAAATGTAAAAAGCTGCCATTTTGACTCCAGTGTGTAAGTCTATGACGTCATGTACTTGTCCTAGGCGTGACATCAGTGGAAACTTTCAACCAATCACAGGGCTGATAGGTCATATTACATAGGTTGATAAGCAAAAAAATATGACATGGGTATATTCACTGGATAACACAGTACATTATGTGATAATGTAATATACTCCTGATTCTCTGTTTACAGAACAGAGGTGACATCCAGAGGACATCTCCTCCTCCTCCTTTTAAGTTATGTTTGTTTAACACACATTAAAGTTGTTGTTGTGGAACCTTCAAACTTTCAACAAGGGCTATTGTAATACAAATAATACATATGAAACTTCTTATTCCTATTAAAAAGTTGAATACATGTTGCAATTATTTGAAGTCAAGTCCACAATACTAGCAGAACACTAGGGTTATACTACTCTCAAACACTAACAGAACACTAGGGTTACACTACTCTCAAACACTAACAGAACACTAGGGTTATACTACTCTCAAACACTAGCAGAACACTAGGGTTATACTACTCTCAAACACTAGCAGAACACCAGGGTTATACTACTCTCAAACACTAGCAGAACACCAGGGTTATACTACTCTCAAACACTAGCAGAACACTAGGGTTATACTACTCTCAAACACTAACAGAACACTAGAGTTATACTACTCTCAAACACTAGCAGAACACTAGGGTTATACTACTCTCAAACACTAACAGAACACTAGGGTTATACTACTCTCAAACACTTTTGAGACCTCATGGCCAATGATACAAAACTCATTTTAACAGGACCGGTGTTTCAATGAGATCTGCTTTGTTAATAAAGAACTGACTGTTTTCAGTCATAACATTGTAGTAATATGTACATACCCAGTGTCCTCCATCAAAGCCAACGTCACACGAGAAATCACAGGATTCTGGGTGTATGTCCCTGTCATAGCCTCATTCTGAAATGGACAATAATATCTTGCAATTAATTTATCAAGTCTATAAAAAAAAACAAGATCACATTGACAAACCTTATTTTTTACAAATGAACAACTGGAGATCATATGACCACCTGAGGATCATGAACAACTGGAGATCACATGACTATCTGAGCATCATGAACAACTGGAGATCACATGACTATCTGAGGATCATGAACAACTGGAGATCACATAACTACCTGAGGATCATGAACAACTGGAGATCACATGACCACCTGAGGATCATGAACAACTGGAGATCACATGACCACCTAAGGATCATGACTTTCTGAAGATCACATGACCACCTGAGGATCATGACTATCTGAAGATCACACGACCTATGAACCGATTGTTACTGGTTAGTCACAGTGAAACAGTAGAATCCCATTTTAATTCTCGCTCAATTATTATCTACATGTAAAGTGTGTATAGTTTTATATTTGTGACAGTCCTGTTTCTGTTGTTAGGTGAATGAACAAATTCTACATATAAGTGAACCTTTCTTATCCAGAAACACTACAGACCAAACTGTCCTGGATCAACCATGTCCTTGTTGCATGATGGACATTTTAAACATGAAAATAACACTGTTTTTACAGTATACCCGAGCTATTTCACACTGTCTAGCCAGAAAGGACATCATACAGACCACATTGACAAACCTTATTTTTTACAAATGAACAACTGGAGATCATATGACCACCTGAGGATCATGAACAACTGGAGATCACATGACTATCTGAGGATCATGAACAACTGGAGATCACATGACTATCTGAGGATCATGAACAACTGGAGATCACATGACTATCTGAGGATCATGAACAACTGGAGATCACATGACTATCTGAGGATCATGAACAACTGGAGATCACATGACTATCTGAGGATCATGAACAACTGGAGATCACATGACTATCTGAGGATCATGAACAACTGGAGATCACATGACTATCTGAGGATCATGAACAACTGGAGATCACATGACTATCTGAGGATCATGAACAACTGGAGATCACATGACTATCTGAGGATCATGAACAACTGGAGATCACATGACTATCTGAGGATCATGAACAACTGGAGATCACATGACTATCTGAGGATCATGAACAACTGGAGATCACATAACTACCTGAGGATCATGAACAACTGGAGATCACATGACCATCTGAGGATCATGAACAACTGGAGATCACATGACCACCTGAGGATCATGACTTTCTGAAGATCACATGACCACCTGAGGATCATGACTATCTGAAGATCACACGACCTATGAACCGATTGTTACTGGTTAGTCACAGTGAAACAGTAGAATCCCATTTTAATTCTCGCTCAATTATTATCTACATGTAAAGTGTGTATAGTTTTATATTTGTGACAGTCCTGTTTCTGTTGTTAGGTGAATGAACAAATTCTACATATAAATGAACCTTTCTTATCCAGAAACACTACAGACCAAACTGTCCTGGATCAACCATGTCCTTCTTGCATGATGGACATTTTAAACATGAAAATAACACTGTTTTTACAGTATACCCGAGCTATTTCACACTGTCTAGCCAGAAAGGACATCATACAGACCATGGTCGATTGGTTAGATACTTACCTCAAAGATTCGTTTTTCCCAGTGAGTGAGAGCTGTACCAACAATCCCTTGGTCTTCCAGCTCAGCTCCCTCCAGGGTGGAACAATTAAAATGACGCCGTACCTCATCCTTAGGACCAACATAAACAGAAGGCAAACGGTAAACATTTCTAAACATAAAGAGTAAAAGAATGATAGACTTGTCCTAATAAAGTCAGCAGACAATACGAGACATGAATAAACAAACCTTACTTTTTCAAATTTCCAGTTATCATAAACACAATTTTTATTTTTTATTTTATTGTGTAATGCTTTTTATGTTAAAGACTAGATAAGTCTAGATTCTCAAACCACTGATATAAACGTGTATTAATTATCTACAGACATTTAAGCTTTCTAAGCTGTATCAGAGGTTGTATTTCAGGTTGTTGGGTGTTAAATATACTAGAAAATGTCTGTAAGACATAAATGCCCCCGCTCATGGACGGGACGGGACGGATATGGGCAACACTTTATGCCCCCCCCCCCCCCCCCCATTTTATGGCGGGGGCATAATAAGCACAAGTGGTGAAAGATAGAATTGGTAAAAGTGAAATATTTTATTTTCAACACTAAGATGTTACATGACATGATCAAAAGACTGTATACAAACCACCACGCGAGGAGTGACAATCATGTTGATGGACTTTGATGTGAAGCCGCTGCGATTTTTCCAGTTTGGTCGTTTTAATGTTTTCACTACTTTATCACTCCACTGGTACAAACTCAGTCTGAAACAGTGGAATATCATTAATCGTTAATCATGGCACTGCATATCATATCCCATTGCTCATTTTATATTATTGTCATGGAAATCAGAAATTTAATTTAAAATCTAGCCCTGTACTCTGTTATCCCCTAATAATCTGGCCAGTTACTACTGACACATAATCTGCTATAATCCCCTATTCTGTCCCCAACACAAGTCAGTTTAATACTTTTGACACAGAATTAATCTGTCTCTGTTCTCCCTAAATCTACCCAGTTACATACTGACACAGAATCCCATACCCCTCTCTCCTCTTCCAACCCAGTCGGTTAATACTTTGTATTAACCCAGTCTTCCGTACTCTGTTCTTTACCAATTTAGCCAGTGAATATTACATACAGATTTTCCTAACATCTTCATACAAAATGATTGAGTTCTAGTGATTGAGCTGTGCCATAATCCAGGCACTTTGGGTCTAGAACAGAAGTGGTCAGGTTGATAAATCCCCATATGTTTAGGAAAAAGAATACTAAAATTTGCTTAATTTTAAAATTTCTGAGGTCCAGTAAAAATGTTAGGATAATAGAATTATTTAGATTGTAGGAGAATATTAGGAGGAGTATTCCAAGCATTAATCACATTCTGGTGTAATTGTATATGAATGTTAGAATGTAAGTCAGTAGTCAATAGAAGGTTTGATAGAGTAACACCTACTGTGAGTTGTACCAAGGCTTGCCAGATATGGGATTTCGAGTGGTCAATGGGTTACCATTTCTGTCGTAGTAAAAGGCGTATAAACCAGCTGTGAAACCCTGAAATCAACAACAGGTTGTAACTGAATACACGATCTGAAGGCGAAGATAAACCTCAAATAATAAAAAAAATGTATATTAGTTACCTCCCCTTATCTGAATACTTGAAGTTGTGTGATTTTCCAGTTACATGCGATCTATCGATTATCAAAATATGTGACTGAATAACAACTGTTCCCGTAAGAATAAAATATTTTCATTCCACAATTGTTCTACTTGAAGGAAAATGTGTAATCAATAAGTATCTTTAAAACAAGAACTGATTACCCAGTATGTGTAAAATAACGAAGGCTATATATAGGCCATTGTGTATCTTTGTGACCACTTTGAAAAGATTTCATGGGATTAAATACGATAATTGACGAAGGCAGATATTAGATGCCTCTATGTCCACATCACATAAATTAATATATTGCTTCTAATGACACTTTCAGCGTTGTTTTTTTTTTATCTGTAGTGAGCTAGAAATATAAATAAAAAAATCAATGATTATCCAAACTGATTTCAAGGCCTATGGTATAACTGTCTCAAGACAGTTTTTTTTCCAGATAATGATACTGAAACTGAATGAATATTTTTGAATGTGTTCAAAACAAAATTCTTTTTCCTCATTTTTGTGTATGGCTTCTCGTTCTGGGCGACATACTTTATATTGGTAAACTTTTTCCAGTCAAAGAGTTGCCCTTCACTGGAAAATCTATATTCATCCATGATTGAGTTTGCCCATTACATGTTATTACTTTATATATATATGGTATGCTATGTACTAGATTCCCTGTCATGAAAATCAGTATACAGTATCTTGATCGAAGATGCCTGCAGTAACTTTGTCATCATGAATATTGTTCATATTTTTTAAGAATAAATATTGTCATCTGTCATTTACTATGCTAGATATTTTTAAGTAATAAGGAAAACCAAGAGAAGGTCACCTATTCCAGGATAACCCAGACTAAAGTCACCAATTGTATATTAAACTCTAGTAAAAGGTTATCAATTAAATATTTTTCAAAAGTTCAAGGTCGCCAATTACAGGATCTTCAATAAGATGCTTGAATTAAGACCAACTCACCAATGCGTGGAGAATTTCATGTTTCAGTGTTGAGAGAAGTTGAAGATGATCTTGTTTTTCAATGGAAATTGATTCTGGACATATACTGAAGTAGCCAGCTACTGGTCTAAAATTATAAAACACATATTGTGGGAATAAAATCTTATATACAAAAGTAACATTCTATTCTTATAACAATCATAATTCATGTTCAATATGAAAACAAATCCCTGTATATTTACCTATCAAGAGCTGCCTCCTGCTGACAGTGTGCGGCGTAGGCTATGGTGCGTGCCTTGCGACATCGTGGTGTAGAGAGAGCAGCGACATAGAGAATGAAGTCAGTGTTGTTGACTCCTGGACCAGCATCCGACGTGCTTCTCCAGATGTTAACCCTACTGTCCCACAGGTAACATCTCTGTAAACAACAATAGTAACAGGTGACTCAACCCTTTGGGCATATACTGATCTGACAAGTAGGAACCAGTACAGACAATGTTTAGTCAGATCTTAAAGCCGCAGTATCATATGACTTTACGATCTGACTAGGCATTGTCTAAATCACAATTAAATATGAATATTATGAGGTTATCAACAGTTTCAGACATTTTTCAGTGGTTGAACTAAATGCTCATATTGGCCCTCCCTCCTGGTGTACACGGTAGTCTAGTGGCAGGACGCCGGGCTCGTGACTGAAGGGTTGCGTGTTCGAGTCACGGCACGGCGTTGTATCTTTGAGCAAGATACTTTACTCCGTTTGTTCAAGTCTACTCAGCTGTAAATGAGTACGTGGTTGGGCAGTGCTAGAATTGTTGAATGCTAGCTGTTAGCGCCGAAATGGCAGCTCCGGCTGTATGCTCCCCAGGGAGTTGAGAGAGATATTGGCTGGTTGCAAAGGCCTTATAACCACGGATAATAATTTGTGAACTGGTTTGAGACGACCTACGAATTCAAACTAGGTTGTGATAAAGCAGTATATAAGAACCTCAAATTATTATTATTATTATTATTATTACTCTATGGAGATAGTGAAACTTCTCACCTCAAGGTGCTCCAGGGGTATAAAGATGTCACCACACTTGGTGAGGGCAGCACAACCATCCACACAAAATCGCCCTCCGTCCACGTCCCTGTATCGTACCTCATCTGACTGACACTGTCTGTACACGTAAAAAAAATACACATTCATACATGAAACCAGACTCCTAAGAATAATCATTCACAATCAAAAAAAAAATTTGTAATATTTATTGAGAAAGTATTTTTTTCCACAACTTGTGATTATATGACGCTTAGTTTTAACAGTACAGTCTTTTTCTATATATATTGGGAACAAAAATGAAAGGAATTAGGATGATGATCCTATATAGTTTACTAGTACATAGTCTTTATTTAAGGATCCCCGTCATACTGCACTATGGTTTTTCATATATACAGTAACCTCCCCTTAATTTTCATTTTGGATAAAAATCTTCAGCACTGTTAGACCAAGACACTTCCACTGACCAAGTAGCTGAATCGGAAAGAACAATGGTATAATAACCTGAAGTCCAGGGTTTCATTCCTGGTTTAGCTCCACTGATTTTTACATTCGGAACAATAATTAATGTTGATCATGTTTTTATTTTTTTTAATATTTATTATTTTTCATAAAAGTCCCATAAGGTATGGTTTTTATTTTCAGAAATAATTTATCAAAGCTATAGAGATGCCGGGAAAAAAACAGTTTCATATGCATAGTTACAGTATTTTAGCAGCGGTTTGGGGATCCTTTGTGAAGTGACAAGTGACATCTATAATGATAGAAGAGATATCTACCGACTGTACAACTGTGACATTACCTATTTCTTCCCATTGTGAAACCAAAATTGTAAGCTACGGTATTTTCTGAAAAACTTTCAAAATTTACTGTGACTACAATAGAAATTGTATGTACAATACTATAACAGTCTGTATCTACTGTACCTGTTGAGCCTGATAGACCCAACGGTGCGTCGTACAGACAAAGTCCGCTCCCAGTAGTCCACCGCTTCCCTTACCAATGTCTTAAAAATAGAATGGCATTGTACCTGTATTTAACTCGGAGTTGATAACACTCATCAACAACATGCCCAAATAACCAGGAATGTCTACAAATTACACAATGGCAAACATTTACATCATTCCAAATATCATTTAATACTTAAACTCTCAGTCATTCCAAATAAACTGTTTTAGTAACAAGGTATACGTATTGCACTGATGCAGTTGGTAAAACAATGTTAATACAGTTTAACACTGATATGAGGAAAAAATGGTTTATTTCACACCTTTGTTTTCTCAGTATAAATCAATATTATCATCATGTCCACTCAGAAAATTTTAATTTCCTTCACATCATATGTAATTTAGAATGAATTTGTTTTATAAACATACAAACTATGATGAATTTGTGTTTGCGAACCAACCTCAACGAGTGAGCGGTGGGAGGCTGGCAGGAAACTGATACTGTTGTCATAGTGAAGGTGGATCCTCAGCGGCTGGTCGGGACTCCGCTTCCGTACGACATGGTGTGACTCCGTATCCAGATTCACATCAAGAACAACCTACAGGGATCATTGACAGGTGTCGGTTAACATCACACGTGTAAAAACTTAAATAAAGGTTACAGCTTACATGTAACCTACGTACAGGGTAGCATTACATGTGTCAGAGAATACAATCGGGTGAAGAAATGGAAGTTACCAGTACATCATGTATGTGGCCTATTGGGAACATGCAGGTGTCATACAAGTGAAAACTTATATCTTGTAACACCTAGACCCAGACAATTCAACCCTTCCTCTCTCAAAGATCTTTTGTCCTTTCTTATCCTGATGTTCTTCTCCCCAGGTCTCTGTCTCCTTACTATCTCCAAATTCATCTGTTTGTTCTCTCCTCCAGGCCTCTGTCCCCTTCCTATCTCCAAACCATCTGTCTGTACTTCTCCCCAGGCCTTTGACCCCTTCCTATCTCCAACCCATCTGTCAGTTCCTCTCCCCAAGCCTTTGTCTCCTTCCTATCTCCAAACCATCTGTCTGTTCCTCTCTCCATTTCTATCTCCAAACCGATCTGCCAATTCCTCTCCCCAAACGTCTGTCCCCTTCCTATCTCCGAACCGTTCTGTCAGTTCCTCTCCCCAAGCCTTTGTCCCCTTGCTATCCCCAAACCGATCTGTCTGTTCTTCTCCTTAAACCTCTGTCCCCTCCCTATCTCCAAACCGATCTGTCTGGTCCTCTCCCCAAACCACTGTCCCCTTCCTATCTCTGAACCGATCTGTCAGTTCTTCTCCCCTAACCTCTGTCCCCTTCCTACCTCCAAACAATCTGTCTGTTCCTATCCCCAAGCCCTTGTCCCCTTCCTATCTCCGAACCGATCTGTCAGTTCCTCTCCTCAAACCTCTATCCCCTTTCTATCTCCAAACCGATCTGTCTGTTCTTCTCCTTAAACCTCTGTCCCCTTCCTATCTCCAAAATGATCTGTCTGTTCCTCTCCCCAGGCCTTTGTCCCCTTCCTATCTCCAAACCGATCCGTCTGTTCCTCTCCCCAAACCTCTGTTCCCTTCCTATCTCCAAAATGATCCATCTGTTCCTCTCCCCAACCCTCTGTCCCCTTCCTATCTCCAAACCGATCTGTCTGGTCCTCTCCCCAAACCTCTATCCCCTTCCTATCTCCAAACAATCTGTCTGTTCCTATCCCCAAGCCTTTGTCCCCTTCCTATCTCCAAACCATCTGTCAGTTCCTCTCCCCAAGCCTTTGTCCCCTTCCTATCTCCAAACCATCTGTCAGTTCATCTCCCCAAGCCTTTGTCTCCTTCCTATCTCCAAACCGATCTGTCAGTTTTTCTCCCCAAACCTCAGTCCCCTTCCTATCTCCAAACCATCTGTCAGTTCCTCTCCCCAAGCCTTTGTCTCCTTCCTATCTCCAAACCGATCTGTCAGTTCTTCTCCCCTAACCTCTGTCCTCTTCCAATCTCCAAACCGATATGTGGGTTCCTCTCCCCAAACCTCTATCCCCTTCCTATCTCCAAACAATCTGTCTGTTCCTATCCCCAAGCCCTTGTCCCCTTCCTATCTCCAAACCGATCTGTCTGGTCCTCTCCCCAAACCTCTATCCCCTTCCTATCTCCAAACAATCTGTCTGTTCCTATCCCCAAGCCTTTGTCCCCTTCCTATCTCCAAACCGATCCGTCTGTTCCTCTCCCCAAATCTCTGTCCCCTTCCTATCTCCAAAATGATCTGTCTGTTCCTCTCCCCAGGCCTTTGTCCCCTTCCCATCTCCAAACCAATCTGTCTGTTCTTCTCCCCAAACCTCTATCCCCTTCCTATCTCCAAACCGATCTGTCAGTTTTTCTCCCCAAACCTCTGTCCCCTTCCTATCTCCAAACCATCTGTCTGTTCCTCTCCCCAAGCCTTTGTCCCCTTGCTATCCCCAAACCATCTGTCTGTTCCTCTCCCCAAGCCTTTGTCCCGTTGCTATCTCCAAACCGATCTGTCAGTTCCTCTCCCCAAACCTCTGTTCCCTTTCCTATCTCCAAACCGATCTGTCAGTTCCTCTCCCCAAACCTCTGTGCCCTTCCATTCTCCAAACCAATCTGTCTGTTCCTCTCCCCAAACCTCTGTCCCCTTCCTATCTCGAAACTGATCTGTCTGTCTGTTCCCCTCCTGGATGCTTGCTTCTCGCTCATTTTATCTCCCCTCAGTATCAAAATCTCTTCCCAAGACTTTTAATCGATTCCTCTCACCATGGTATTTCACATCATTCTCCCTAAAGCATTTTGTCCTCTCCTCTTTCCAAGAATTTTTGTCCTTTTACCTATGGCTTTTATCCCCTCTTTCCCTCTAAGACATTTCATTCCTTTGCCTCCCCCCAAGCCTATAGCTATAGACTTATGTCCCTTCCTCTTCCCTGTCTAAAACCTTTCACCTTTCCTCTCCCCTTGGTGTTACAACCTTCTCCCTAAGGTCCCTTTGTTTCTTTGTCTTCCAAAGGATATTTTATTTCTTATTCTCCACAAGATCTGTCCCTTCTTACTCTCTCCAGGTTCAAGGACTTCAGTCCTATTCAATCCCCAGGACCTTCCTGTTCCGTGACCCAAGGACATTCATCTCTTTTTCTCTGAAAGGACTTTCAACCTTCCATTTTCCCATGACATTTCATCCATTCATTCCCTCTAGGTCTGTTGTCCCTTCCTCTCCCCATGGCATTTCATCCCTTGCTCTCCCAAAGGCTTTTCGCTCATTCCAAGGACCTTAAACATTTTCCTAAAGACTAAATAGAATTTTTATTTCATACATACCAGCTGTTAACCATAGAAAGGTGGAGCACTGGCACTCAAACTTCTTTAGTTACAAGCTTATTAGTATAATGTATTCTCCACATAATGTACTGATTGCTTGAAATCTGATTCTGTGAAGGGTCCTTCAGGACATAGTGGAAGTAGATTACGTGTAATTGTCTAGCAATCTACATATATATAGTCCCATAACACTTAGTACAAAGAACTGATTATACATTGTACATTCAGTAACATACAGCTCCACACTTCATCCTCTCCAGTTCTAAATGACATTTCAAGCACCATTTATACATTACAATGTAGATCTGAGCCTCTCTGGTTTTATATGTCTGTTTATGATTTAATTAGATATAGAGGATATGAATGTTACATAGGTTTCCAATTATTACAAATACTGTCGCTATGACTAGTAGGCCATTTATGTACTGTACACATATGTACTTTAATAATTACATTTTATTCAATTAAGGAAGTCCGGATCCATGTTCCACAACAGACAAAACACTAAAGAATTCTACTGTGCATACATATATATTACGTATATACACGGAATTAGTCTAAGTCTGTGGTATATACAATAACCTTCCCTTAGTTTTGTTTTGGATATAACTGCACCACAGTTAATTTGGCAAGGGTACTATAATATACTACATGTACCAGGCCTAGGTAGTCCTGTAGCTCATGATCAGATGGTTTAGAGCAACGGTATAATAATCTGAGGTCCGGGGTTTGAATCCTAGTCTAGCTGCACCGATTGTTACAGAACACTGCTGTTGATTCGATTTTGTTTATTTCATCTTTACTGTCTTGTCAAAAAAAAAGTCTCCCCATTTAGGCATAGTTTTCTTTTCAGAAATGATTTATCAAAGCTATAGTCATATGCTAAACAAAAACAGTTTCTAATACAGTTACAGCTTTTGGCAGTAGTATAGGATATCCTTAACCCTTTCACCCCTTGTAATTTTAGTAAACTCTACCACACATTTTCTGGGCAAGTCCATTATGGTCTAAAGTGGTGAAAGGGTTAAGTAACAAGACAACATGGACAGAGATATACCCTATACATCACAAAGTTGTACCTATCATGAACTAATGACATGGGGAATCATGTTCTTAGCTTAATTGCTATTTACTGATAACAAAAAATGTACTTTTTTAATAAGATGTTTCACTTTAGAGAATCCTAAAATAAGTTCAGACATGATCATGCATATATATATATATACATATACATGTACATGTACCTTCATATAAATACTACAACCTACACGAAATATCTCGATCAGACTTGCAAGGTATTACTGTAAAAATCAATGAACTGCTACAGTACCTGGCTAAATTTTGAACACTCCAGGTCTAAGTCAGGCAATCTGTAATTGTATATTACTAAACTTAGCTATGCTGTAGCTTGTAAAACTGTACATACCCGAATCGTTTATCACCTTCAACTTAACATTTATTTTTTAACATTTACCTATAACAATTAACATATACAGATTTGGTAAAAAAGATATATATGATATCACTTTCAATTATTTATAAATGCCTGGTAATGGCTAGGATCAATGGCTAAAATGAATTTACCATAGCTATAGCCATCTATAAACATAAAAAAAAATCATCAATAGCATCTAAAAGTTATATCATCAGCTGTTTAATCACTTGATATTAAACTTATAAATACAATGAATTACTTTTATATATAGATGCATGATCTTACATTTTATTTGAAAAATCTATGAAGAACAATGATATTGTTATATCTGTAATGTGCCTATACGTATATATCTCCATTATAAATTATACGGTGTTAGTTTTTTTCAATACCTTTTCCCTGGTACATTTCATATAAATTGTCTAGTACTGTTCATGACATTGATCCACTATCAGGTTTCTAACCCAACTCCCAAACGTACAATCAAACTCTGGTACAAATTCTATTTGGATAAGAAAATCAATAACAATTGACTTATCTAAAGTCTATAAGTGGAGCACCCGCCTACAATGTGCAGTGGTTTTATTTAACGGGCATTTTTTCAAGTCTACATTGAGAATACATACTGCATGATACAATGTTATCTTATGCAATAAAATGGGACTTATACAGTTGACAACGTTAACTTCTTGGGAATTAATACCCAGTATTCCTTAAAAGGCCTAGCTTCTAGTATAACTAAAGAAAGCATTGTCAGATTTAACATAAATATATATGGTTGCTTCTGTCCATTCTTCATAATCATAATCAGGCCAAACAAAAATAAAACTTCTACTGGTAAAAGTTTGTATATATATGGAACCGATAGGTTGGTATATATAAAACAGAAAGCAAATATTTTCATTTCTTACTCTTTACATAGATTTATAAGAAATAGATAACCGATATATATAACATATAACAGAATCGAAGTACTGTATAATTAAGTAGTAAATGATGTGTTACAGAACGTTTGTTTATTTCTCAACTAATTTATTTAGTACAAATGTACAGTAATTTTGAGACCAGGTTAGAATTTAGGTTAGGTACTGATACCATTGTTACATCTAATTATAATCTCATGTGTGGGGAAATAGTAATATCGGCTATTACCTAGGTATGTAAAGATTACTGTCTAAAGAGTTAAGATCTTTAGTCAGATATTAACATAAACGTGTATACCGACTCAGAAAGAAGACAACAAATAACAGAACCTACATATATCTAATGGTAACAATAATATGCAAGCACACCTCCCATCTGCCATACCAAATTCACATTTCCTACATTTACTTATTAAATCTAACACAAACATCAGATATAATATAAATGTTGCATACCTCATCCCGAGAAGCTGGATGATGATCACAGCTGAATCCTGCCAATGGAATCTCAGGGACAAGGTCTTCAAGCGATGAGTGTACCACTAAAGAAAAAACTAAATAAAATTTCAGCATGTCTTTTGGAATTGTAGGTCTTGTCACCATATTGGAAGCACTGGTGTTATCATGTTCAACATCACAGAATAAATCCTCTAATGTTTAGTGTCATCATCCGTTCAAGCTCATGTGAACTAGTCGATCATCTCCTGTTTGTAAAACTTTACACAGGAAGGTTTCAATTTCCTTGTAGTTTTAATTTCCTAAAATTGTCCACTGAATACGTTAACATTCTATACAGCTTATTGCTCTTAATTAAGCTTTGAACAATAAAATGTAATTATACAAGGCCTAAAGACATATAGAACAGTTCACAACAATTTATATTCACTGCAGTACCACTATGCACGCGCGTATAGCCTAGGTATGCTTATCTTTTGTGATTCTTATCATTGTACATGTACACAGTAACATCAACAGCATCCTCACTCAGCTTCAGGCAGAATCACATCAATGTCAACGTTGTTTCAGATGTTTAGCAATAACTCACTGTAGATGAATCACTCTTTGTCCCCGAACCCATGACCACATATATACTACACATGTACAGTACACTGTTATGTTTGGTCATCCCTGCTGCTACAGAGGTGCATACTACTACACAGAGAGTACAGTTGTATACATCATGGTACAGTATTGTACATGTTATATATACAGTAGTACAGGCCTCATAGATGTAACTCTGAAGAAGGTATAATTAATACATTTTTCTTACACCTCTTCAAATATATCTATAATGGCCAAGTGAGTCACTGATACATTGCCAAGAACAAGGCGAAAATGGTATTCTTAGAAAATAAAAAAAATAATAATAATAACAATCCCTACCAGATAATTGAAAGTTATTTATAAACCATGGACACGGTTAACTACTTCTTTGTTGTTTGTATTGATATCAAACGTAAAAAACACACTATTTGGGATTCGTACCAAATCTGACCTAGGACTGATTATGTGGTAAAATTACATAATCAAAACTTCTATTTTTACATAGCTTTTAACATGAAGGGCCTCGGGGATCATTGGACGAATAACAGTTTGATCAATCGTAAGTAACTGGAATGGTACTTTGTATTAAACGTATCGCATACAGTTATGCTTCACAACGAGAAATAAGCTTTGTTCATGACTGCACGATGGGACACTTGCACAAAATTCCTCATTTTCATCCTTCTTCCCCATACCCTCCATCGAACCTCATTTTAACTTTCGTACCATTTATACAGGAGAGTTGCTTTTCAAGGGGAATAAATAATGCTACATTATTTAAACAAATAGTTTTTCTTAGAATTATCCATATTTAAGAATATGACTCCAGACAAAATCTTTTTAACATACGACATGGTTTGAATTTAAAACGACTTTTTTGATTCGTCTGTCATTTTTGTTGGTTTAATATTTTATTTAATCCGGAATTGATTCATACCTTTTTTAGATTCTATATTCAACTTCCTGTGAAGAAATACCGCCAGATTTGATTTCCAAGGATGAGCGACTACATTTAAACTGTTTAAATTAAATGGTGACTGACACAGCATTCTTAAGAACATCAGTCGCATGGTATAATGGACGCAAGGAGGCTAAGATCAATTATTTGTAGCTGCAAGACCAACGACATCAAAACACTTTTGACGCAATGGGGACGTCAGATTCAACTCCAGAATGTCACATCTCTTAACTTTTCTGATCCAAAGAAAAGCATTGCCCAATCTCTGTTATCACTATGTGAAGTAAGAAGTTCTTCTTCTTCTTATGGTACATGGGACTCCATCAATGATGATGTTAATGCCCTCGGGGGTCCTTACACAGAGGCGTGAAAAAAGGGGGTTATTTACAGTGATTATTTGTGCAAGGTATAGATAAAAAGGAATTACAGACGTTTCGCCCCAAAACAGTTCGCCCCATTTTTTTTCACATAGCCTCAATTTTCAGTTCAATTCGCCCCAAGTATGACAACCATATCGCCCCAAAATTTCTGTTCGACCCAAAAATCTATATCACCCCAACCGCTACGGAACATATATTGAACTATAAAAGGCAGTTTATGGGAGGTAACTCTTTCAATTTCAGAGCTATTTCCTTGTCGATATTTATTATTCATAGATTAACATCTAGATATTAAATATAATACTATCTAATTATCTTATACATATATATCATCTAAAATATACGTGTCTTACATAGATATTAAATATAATACTATCTAATTATCTGATACATAAAAATCATCTAAAATATACATGCCTAACACAGATGTGGATTTATTGTTTATTTTAAAGCCATGCACATGCGTCGGTGTATGATGAAAGAATGTAAACAAATTAACACAATGCTACATTTTATGTACCGATAGCTACATCCATCAAAATTTGATGACAAGATGTACACATACATGAAAACATGGATTTTTTGTTTATTTAAAAGCCACACGAGTTGGTGCATGATTTAAAAACTAAAACAAAACAAAAATAGTAATTTAACTAAATTACAAATTAATTGTTAATTAACTTATTTTGTTTTCAACAAATAATTAATTACTATTCTGGCTTTGCAAACTTTTCCGTAGTATACATGAAACAAGAGTTATTCCCCTTAGCACGGTAAAACACAATCACAATTTAACTAAGAATTTTCCAAGAAAATAGGAAAATGAACCTTTTTTTTATTTTTTTGGGATCAAATTAGTTGGTACGTTATGTTTTTTTGGGACATTATGGATTTTTTGGGGCGAAACCGGTTGGGGCGATATGAATCAAATTTGGGGCGTACCAGCTTGGGGCGTTACGATTTTGGGGTGAAACGTCTGACTAAAAGATAAAAGTTGGCCGGTGTTTTAGTGTGCGATGAGGGCTGCATAGCGCATGTGTGCCTTGAAGTCCTCTAGTGTTGTGCAATGTGCATTGTACTGCTGCTATGGGAAGGAGATTCCATCGTGTTATTGTGTGTGGAAAGAATGAATATTTGTAGGTGTCCTTTGTTGCAGATATGTGTTTGTATGCGTAAGGGTGTGCATGTCTGGTTCGAGGGTCTACAGGTGTGGGTTATTCTTTTAACGAACTGATAATTTTATATAAATAATATCTTTAAAATTTGACATCAGGTGACCAGTTTCTGAGCCTTAGAGGCAAATTGCGAAACAAAAGAATCGGAGCAAAAATTAATATTAAACATCATAATTGAACAACAGAATCAGATATTGCACACTACTTACCAGGCTCTAAATATGTGTTTATCTATATTCATCCACATGTTAAAGTGTGCTGGAAGAGTAATAGTGTTCTGTTTGTGTTAGGGGCAGTACTTCTTACAGCAACTTTTCTGGTGCCACTTTTAAATATTACAGCACAGACACTGACTAGTATATATCCACCCATCATGAGACCAACTGATACTCCATCAAGATCATTGGATCTAAAAATTCTGTGTGGAAGGTGTTAATACCTGTGCTGTGCCTAACATGTGGTCTTGTATACAAACTAACTATTTCATGGATATATGAGATGGTTTAGTGATATTAACACAGTATTTATTGATTTTCAGACAAGAAAACATTTCAAGACTGAAGTTGATGAATTGGATCTAATGTGTAAGTCAAGCAATACAACATATATATACAGCCTAAAAAATATATGTAAAGCTGTATTCATGTGTCCATTGTGCACAATTATATATGTACAGAAATTTAAATCGTTTTTCTGTTGTCGTCATTTGCCACCATCTTGATTCGGTAGTCTGCTCCACGTGCAGCACCTCGCGAGAAAGTACAGACAGAACAGTGTTCGGAGCAGTGACCTCACCACTTGATTTAAGATTTCACTGATCTGAGTGAACCGAGTACTAAATCAATTGTAGTCTCTTCAATCCGGGTAGGCCCGACACATGACACGTATATATTTACCAAATGCGGTAATGAACTCTCCAATCGTTTATCATAATATGGAATAAATAATGACGCCAGACTGACAGCCTTACCTTCAATTATGTCGCCCTTAACTTTACCGGTAACCAGGTCCAGGTGGCCCAAATCCTGTGGAGATACTCCGAACATTCTTATCCTGTTGTTTGTCACTGTGTGGCAAAAACCCAATAAAATTTCTAGTAGAATTTTTCTGTTAGTGTAACATATTAATTGATGAGATAAGTTTATGTTGAAACTGTTACTTGAGAGATGAGAAATTTCTTCAGTAATTCAAAGTGTATGGTTCCACAGTCGTGAAACATAATGACTCCAGAACAGTAAATATTTATAATCAGAAATCTTGGAACAGACCATTTTTGACAGTCTATAACTTTGTATTTCCAGGTACACAGATGTATCCAAAGAAGCGACTATGGAGAGTTTTCCATCTTAAAGACAATAAAGGTATACAATAAAGCTGGTTCAAATATAGTGGGGAAAGAAATGATCTTGTATTCAAGAAACCTCTTCATTAATAACACCTCTAAATTTTAAAGAGGACTATATGCTAGGTTTGGATTTGTCTCTGCATCACGTTTTCCAGAGTATACTCCAGATCTGTTACAAGCAATTACCAAATTTTGTATGCGAGTACAGTATCTATGGGGATAATAAGCTGTGTATCACAACTTGGCTGAAATCAGATTTTGTGCCCCACTATATACAGAGTTATAGCCCTTTGCTCAATTTGAATCTGATATTTGTCCGGATGTGGGGCTACCAATTACTGGTTGCTAATTTAATGCTAGCAATATACTTAACCTTTTTTCGGCAAATAAAGACATGACAACACAGGGCTTTCAGTTTACCCTTGACATTTAGCAGTTTCAGAAGCCAAATCCCCTTTGCCCTGAAATCTGAAGGGTCAAAACTCATAACACATGTCAGATAGACGTATCCTTTTCAAACCCAAGCGTCAAAGCTCATTTTGAAGAGTCCAAAACACACTTCAAGTCCTGACCACAAACAAACATTAAAGGTAGATGGCAAAAAAAGAGCCTGCTGAAACAAGATGTGGATCATAATGCCGTATTGTAGTTTCACTGTCCATCTGTCCGCAATGTCCTTTCCAGAGATAATGTTATTAGAATACATAAGTCTAAAATTTCTGAAAGTTTACATGCTATTGCTGTTACTTGTATATATGTAGATGGGCAGTATCTATATGCTTGAGAAGTTCATAAGGTCAAGAAACAAAATCAGTGGTGGCTGAAATAACGAAGCTTGGCTTTATAAAATAATAGTAAGGCAAGTAGTAGCACCACCACTGGAACTGACATGATGACTAATACATGTACTTTTATCTTATGAATTTTAACTCATTCACCCCTAAAATTTCATAATGAACTATTCCAACCTTTGAATTGGAAGAGCTCAAATGTGTCTTCAGGGGTGAATGAGTTAAAATAACTTCAAGGATTTTCATATTTTTTGTATACAGATAACACTGGCAATAGATGGCTGGATCTGTGCAACCCTCAGAAGTTTAAGAAGAAATTCAAAAGCCAGGCTGATTTATATTTTGACAGTGTAAGCTTTTGATTGATTCCATGTTTGTTCAATTCATTATGTTGTTGATATATTATAATTAATATTAAAAAAATGTTTAACAGTTCAATAAAATGTTTTGATACCCAAGATTAAGGATGGATTGGTTATGCATTTCAAAGTTTATTACATGAGAAGAAATCATTTTGAAATATTGTTTGTTACACAGAATAGTATCCCATTACCATCACAGTAACAGAATATCCTTTAATACACAGTACACAGTAGACTAGTACACAGAACAGTAAAAATTGCTTGAACTCCACAGAATAGTTTCAATTTTAAAAGCAGTATGCTGCCAGCCCTTATGTATTTAAGTTTGCATTTCTGGACATGCATATTTATGCAGGGATAATCCTGGAGGGAGCCATGGGGCCATTGACCCCTCAAAACTGAAATTGACCCCTCCATGTTCCAATTTTCTTTTAATTCTACATAGAGTGGCTCCTCTTTATTATGATATTGTCTAAAAATTGTTGAAAATGGCCCACTGCTCCAAATTCCAGGATTTTCTCTGTTTATGCATATCGATCACCATTCCAATATACAAAGGTCTAGAGTATTTTCACTCTTTTTTTCCGCTGGTAACTTTAAAAGTCCATGTAAAAAAACTAGGCATTTTTTGTCTATATTCTGTTGACCTTGGAACAGACTTCCTTGTAAAGATAAAACCGTAGTTACAAAAACTATTGATTATTGGTCCCGGAGTGTATATCTGGAGTCATCCAAGGGATCGCTGTACCAGTTGTAGGTGTATGGTGTTTAGCGGGTGACATCTTTATGAGTGGGGGTCAATGTTGTTGAAGTGGACATTTTTCGTGTGTGAAAATGTTCACGTTATGACCGTTTAAACTGATCGGGACGTGGAAAATTTCACGTTAGGAATAGCTCTGAAATCTATTTTATTGATCTATAATCTGTTTTATCTATAGATAAATATTTGCATGTGGATATTTTTGCGCTAATTTACTCAATGCAAAAAAAATGAAAACTTTACAACACTTAAAATGTCCACTTTGACTGTAGCTGTATCAGTTGAAAATTGAATGTTTTGTAGGAGACATCGGTATATGTTGAGGTAAATACAGGCTGTATCCATTGACGACCTGTTTGTAGGTGACAGCGGTATGTGTTGGGGTTAAAACTAGCTGTATCCATTGACAGTCTGTTGTTTTGTAGGTGACGTAGGTATGTGTTGGGGTTAAAACTAGCTGTATCCATTGATGATCTGTTGTTTTGTAGGTGACATCGGTATGTGTTGGGGTAAACACTAGCTGTAACCATTGACAGTCTGTTGTTTTGTAGTTGACGTAGGTATGTGTAGGGGTAAATACTAGCTGTATCCATTGACAGTCTGTTGTTTTGTAGGTGACGTAGGTATGTGTTGGGGTAAATACTAGCTGTATCCATTGATGATCTGTTGTTTTGTAGGTGACATCGGTGTGTGTTGGGGTAAATACTAGCTGTATCCATTGACGATCTGTTGTTTTGTAGGAGACATCGGTATGTGTTGGGGTAAATACTAGCTGTATCCATTGATGATCTGTTGTTTTGTAGGTGACATCGGTGTGTGTTGGGGTAAACACTAGCTGTATCCTTTGACGATCTGTTGTTTTGTAGGTGACGTAGGTATGTGTTGGGGTAAACACTAGCTGTATTCATTGCCGATCTGTTGTTTTGTAGGTCACATCGGTATGTGTTGGGGTAAGCACTAGCTGTATCCATTGACGGTCTGTTGTTTTGTAGGTGACATCGGTGTGCGTTGGGGTAAACACTAGCTGCATCCATTGACGATCTGTTGCCTTGTAGGTGACGTATGTGTGTTGGGGTAAACACTAGCTGTAACCATTGACAGTCTGTTGTTTTGTAGGTGACATCGGAATGTGTTGGGTTAAACACTAGCTGTATCCATTGACGATCTGTTTTTTTGTCGGTGACATCGGTATGTGTTGGGTTAAACACTAGCTGTATCCATTGGTGATCTGTTGTTTTGTAGGGGACATCGGTATGTGTTGGGTTAAACACTAGCTGTAACCATTGACGATCTGTTGTTTTGTAGGTGACATCGGTATGTGTTGGGTTAAACACTAGCTGTATCCATTGATGATCTGTTGTTTTGTAGGTGACGTACAATGTAGGTATGTGTTGGGGTATATGTAAACACCAGCTGTATACATTGACGATCTGTTGTTTTGTAGGTGACATCGGTATGTGTTGGGGTAAGCACTAGCTGTATCCATTGACGATCTGTTGTTTTGAAGGTGACGTAGGTATGTGTTGGGGTATATGTAAACACCAGCTGTATCCATTGACGATCTGTTGTATTGAGGTGACATCGGTATGTGTTGGGGTAAACACTAGCTGTATCCTTTGACGATCTGTTGATCTGTTGTTTTGTAGGTGACATCGGTGTGTGTTGGGGTAAACACTAGCTGTATTCATTGACGATCTGTTGTTTTGTAGGTGACGTAGGTATGTGTTGGGGTATATGTAAACACCAGCTGTATCCATTGACGATCTGTTGTTTTGTAGGTGATGTAGGTGTGTGTTCGGGTAAACACTAGCTGTATCCATTGACGATCTGTTGTTTTGTAGGTGACGTAGGTGTGTTGGGGGAAACACTAGCTGTATCCGTTGACGATATGTTGTTTTGTAGGTGACCTAGGTATGTGTTGGGGTAACCACTAGCTGTATGCATTGACGATTTGTTGTCTTGTAGGTGACGTTTGTGTGTTGGGGTAAACACTAGCTGTATCCATTGACGATCTGTTGTCTTGTAGGTGACGTTTGTGTGTTGGGGTAAACACTAGCTGTATCCATTGACGATATGTTGTTTTGTAGGTGACGTAGGTATGTGTTGGGGTAAACACTAGCTGTATTCATTGATGATCTGTTGTCTTGTAGGTGACGTATGTGTGTTGGGGTAAACACTAGCTGTATCCATTGACGATATGTTGTTTTGTAGGTGACGTAGGTATGTGTTGGGGTAAACACTAGCTGTATCCATTGACGGTCTGTTGTTTTGTAGGTGACGTAGGTATGTGTTGGGGTAAACACTAGCTGTATGCATTGACGATCTGTTGTTTTGTAGGTGACATCGGTATGTGTTGGGGTAAACACTAGCTGTATCCATTGACGGTCTGTTGTTTTGTAGGTGACATCGGTGTGTGTAGGGGTAAACACTAGCTGTATCCATTGACGATCTGTTGTTTTGTAGGCGACGTCGGTATGTGTTGGGGTAAATAAAGGAGCTCTGTGGACTAGACTGTACATCAGTAGCATGGTAAACAGGGGACAGGAGGAGACATATCGTCCCAGTAACAATGTCTACATTGTGTATTTTCCCAAGACACAGTATGTCATCATTAGCCGGTACAAACAGTCGACAGAGGAATTTCTACATCAGGTACGATAAAAGTTCACTGTAATAATGAAAATATTAGTCACAGTTTAATTTTAGCCTGTTTCACCTTCCTTAATGAATTTATCATGGCAGCAATTGATTATTAGTACACGGAATACAATGTAGTAAATAACGTGAAAGGTGAAATAAACACAGGGTTGATACACACATTCAAAGTGAAGCGTAGATATTTATAAACTAAGTGAAAGTTTCCTGGTACATGTATATAGAGTTATTCCTGACATCACAGCCCCCAACAAGGCATTAAGCTGTCTCAGGTAAATTTTTAGTTTATGTATTCCTGACATCACAGCCCCAAACAAGGTATTAAGCTGTCTCAGGTAAATTTTTAGTTAATGTATTCCTGACATCACAGCCCCAAACAAGGTCAAACTCTGTCAGGTAGTATCAGAGGATATGGATTCCTGGAGTTCACAAATATGCCTTGGGTTGGTTTGCTGCTATATAGAAAGGCACTTGTGTTTCAGGCCATTATGACGACTCTAGGGGTGACCGATATGACCAACATGCAGCTGACCGGTTATGACCTGCACTCCCTCATACATCTGGCCATGAACAGGAAATGTCAGGTATTTCATAATGGACACATCTCATCTAATAAATGATCTTATATCAAGAATCCTGCAACTTGATGTAGATACATTGTTTCACAAGATGAAATATCTTTATGAAGGAAACACAAATAATGATTTTCCCTTCCCCAAATCTGATTCTAATTAATTCTTTCATTGCGTCCATTTTGTTCAAGTGGAGTTTTTCCTATCATACTCAATTCATTTTGACAACTTGCAGAATGAACCCTTGTCAGTATTGTTGTTGTCGTCAAAAAGGATGACTTATAGGACCTGTCATTGAGGTTTCTCATTTACCCATTTATTCTCACACTGTCTTTTGCTAATATTTGATAAAAACAGGCAAGTACATAAAGTGATGGCTATTTATGTGAAACTTTCCACTGTTGTATTGATATCATTCAGGTATCTTGATGTGAATTTCAGGGTTCCTTCAGCAAATTTAACTCCGTCCAAGGACAGAAACACCCATTTGCTGGATTTCAACCAAAGAAAAGAAAAGGTGACGTCTTGGTTTTCTACATGTTCATAAGGAATGTGAAGATTCTGTAACCTGTTTATGTATTGATGATAGTATTAAATAAAAAGCATTGTTCCATATTTGTAGGATTTTGTTTGTGGGACATGTCAGTAACCTGTTGTGTTTGCCTTTTGTTGATTGTCATCTGTCTTGCATCTTCTGTATGTAAAACTTAACAGTCTCTTAAACATCAAAAACTGCTAAACAATTAAAATTTTCCAGAAAGCTTTTGTGGCCAAAGACAAAAAAAAATGAATTATATGGTTCCTTGGAACCTGAAGAGTGGAGCCCAAAGGGGTCAAATTGTCTAAAATGTTTACACTTTTTTTACCCAGAAATCCTGCATTCCAATACACTTCACAAATGGTATGGTCCTAAGGGGCTTTATCAAAAACGTGAAATTCACATTATTCCAGGGTCACCTTTGGGAAATATATAGGTTTTGTTTGTTTTCTGACTGTTAATTGGTATGTATAAATATTGTGGTCACATTTGACAATATTTTGTTGGGGAATCCACAGATGCCATATTTTCTTTGCAATGTACTTTTCTGCTTTTCATACATGATTGTTTTCACACGACTTGCCGAAGTTGTCTTAGTATGTAACCTCACATTCTCACACGACTTGGCGAAGTTGTCTTAGTATGTAACCTCACATTCTCACACGACTTGCCGAAGTTATCCTAGTATGTAACCACACATTCTCACACGACTTGCCGAAGTTATCCTAGTATGTAACCTCACATTCTCACACGACTTGCCGAAGTTATCCTAGTATGTAACCTCACATTCTCACACGACTTGCCGAAGTTATCCTAGTATGTAACCTCACATTCTCACACGACTTGCCGAAGTTATCCTAGTATGTAACCTCACATTCTCACACGACTTGCCGAAGTTATCCTAGTATGTAACCTCACATTCTCACACGACTTGCCGAAGTTATCCTAGTATGTAACCTCACATTCTCACACGACTTGCCGAAGTTATCCTAGTATGTAACCTCACATTCTCACACGACTTGCCGAAGTTATCCTAGTATGTAACCTCACATTCTCACACGACTTGCCGAAGTTATCCTAGTATGTAACCTCACATTCTCACACGACTTGCCGAAGTTATCCTAGTATGTAACCTCACATTCTCACACGACTTGCCGAAGTTATCCTAGTATGTAACCTCACATTCTCACACGACTTGCCGAAGTTATCCTAGTATGTAACCTCACATTCTCACACGACTTGCCGAAGTTATCCTAGTATGTAACCTCACATTCTCACACGACTTGCCGAAGTTATCCTAGTATGTAACCTCACATTCTCACACGACTTGCCGAAGTTATCCTAGTATGTAACCTCACATTCTCACACGACTTGCCGAAGTTATCCTAGTATGTAACCTCACATTCTCACACGACTTGCCGAAGTTATCCTAGTATGTAACCTCACATTCTCACACGACTTGCCGAAGTTATCCTAGTATGTAACCTCACATTCTCACACGACTTGCCGAAGTTATCCTAGTATGTAACCTCACATTCTCACACGACTTGCCGAAGTTATCCTAGTATGTAACCTCACATTCTCACACGACTTGCCGAAGTTATCCTAGTATGTAACCTCACATTCTCACACGACTTGCCGAAGTTATCCTAGTATGTAACCTCACATTCTCACACGACTTGCCGAAGTTATCCTAGTATGTAACCTCACATTCTCACACGACTTGCCGAAGTTATCCTAGTATGTAACCTCACATTCTCACACGACTTGCCGAAGTTATCCTAGTATGTAACCTCACATTCTCACACGACTTGCCGAAGTTATCCTAGTATGTAACCTCACATTCTCACACGACTTGCCGAAGTTATCCTAGTATGTAACCTCACATTCTCACACGACTTGCCGAAGTTATCCTAGTATGTAACCTCACATTCTCACACGACTTGCCGAAGTTGTCTTAGTTTGTAACCTCACATTCTCACACTACTTGCCGAAGTTATCCTAGTATGTAACCTCACATTCTCACAAGACTTGGCGAAGTTATCCTAGTATGTAACCTCACATTCTCACACGACTTGCCGAAGTTATCCTAGTATGTAACCTCACATTCTCACACTACTTGCCGAAGTTGTCTTAGTATGTAACCTCACATTCTCACACGACTTAACGAAGTTGTCTTAGTATGTAACCTAACATTCTGTTATTTTACTTTCTTTGCCTTTGCAGCCATTGAGATTGAGAGAGATGAGAACATTTTCTGTGAAGATGAAGAAACAATGAAGAAGCGAGCTAAGATTCTGGAGAAAAGCTTTGGACTCGAGGAACAACCATGCTTGGAGAAAGTGGAATACAGGGTAGGGATATTTACACAAAAAAAAGGTGAAATACTGAGTCAAGATGTTTGGGTAGAGAAAATGAATTGCAGAGTATATATGGATATTCACACAAGAAATGGAATACTGGGTAGAGATATTTTCACTGAAAAAGAAAAAAAATGAAGTGTAGGGTTATTGCAACAATACAGGGTTGGTATACCAAGATATATTGCAGTACAGGATTATCTGTGATATGTATCAAATATACTAGTGTACCAGTCTGTTGTAACATTGACATTCCCAATAAATGTTGTGAACTTTAGTCAAGAGGGTTGAAAACATGAGAAAGTGGAATCAGGATAGGGATATGTACATTGTTGAAAATGCATTGAGTAATCAATAGAGAGCTATAGTCAACAACAGCAATGAACTAGATCTGTAGGGATATGTACATGTTGACTACTACACACAGATCTAGTTCATTGGTGTTGTTGACAGCTCTGTTGATTTTATATGTTATAACTCATATCATTATGCTAATGTGTCATCCCATGAACACAGTAAATTGAAGGTACCTTGTGAGTGAGGAAAACAAAAATACTGCATCAGTAAAATATTACAAAGGAAGAAGTTTTGTTTGCAGAAGTCTCTACAATTACTTTTTTTTTCTTTTCTTTTTTCTTTTTATTTTACAGAAACAATGTTTTTTTTAATTTTCAGGTGAAGACAAAGTTCCGTGGTACAGACTATGTGCCTAGTATGGCAAAAAGACAGGATACATTCAAGTGCACCGTCAAGTTTGAAGGCACCAGTGTGTTAGAGGGTATCAGGAACTTAGGGGCTACAGGACTGGCCAATGTCCCCCTCCCCGGTCATCTTGCTAGTGTTCACTCTCTTGCGAAAAACCACTTTGTGATACAGGACCAAGAAACAACTCCTAGGAAACGCAGGAAATAGATGCCTGCTCCAGACGAATATGAAGCAAGCTAGTGTATTTTATGGCTTCTTGAGGACTCCCTGAGATATCTGTGGATTGTTTTAACCCACATCAGAATCTGTCAGTATATGGTGTGTGTAAGGACTCCCTGAGATATCTGGATTGTTTTAACCCACATCAGAATCTGTCAGCATATGGTGTGTGTAAGGACTCCCTGAGATATCTGTGGATCGTTTTAACCCACATCAGAATCTGTCGGTATATGGTGTGTGTAAGGACTCCCTGAGATATCTGTGGATTGTTTTAACCCACATCAGAATCTGTCGGTATATGGTGTGTAAGGACTCTCTGAGATATCTGTGGATTGTTTTAACCATCATCAGAATCTGTCAGTATATGGTGTGTGTAAGGACTCTCTGAGATATCTGTGGATTGTTTTAACCATCATCAGAATCTGTCAGTATATGGTGTGTGTAAGGAATCTATGAGATATCTGTGGATTGTTTTAACCCACATCAGAATCTGTCGGTATATGGTGTGTGTAAGGACTCCCTGAGATATCTGGATTGTTTTAACCCACATCAGAATCTGTCAGTATATGGTGTGTGTAAGGACTCTATGAGATATCTGTGGATTGTTTTAACCCACATCACAATCTGTCAGTATATATATGGTGTGTAAGGACTCCCTGAGATATCTGTGGATTGTTTTAACCCACATCACAATCTGTCAGTATATATATGGTGTGTAAGGACTCCCTGAGATATCTGTGGATTGTTTTGACCCACATCAGAATCTGTCGGTATATGGCGGGTAAGGACTCCCTGAGCTATCTGTGGATTGTTTTAACCCAGATCAGAATCTGTCGGTATATGGTGTGTAAGGACTCCCTGAGCTATCTGTGGATTGTTCTAACCCACATCACAATCTGTCGGTATATGGTGTGTGTAAGGACTCCCTGAGATATCTGGATTGTTTTAACCCACATCAGAATCTGTCAGTATATGGTCCAGTTTTTGGTGTGTGTAAGGACTCCCTGAGATATCTGTGGATTGTTTAACCCACATCAGAATCTGTCGGTATATATATATAGTGTGTAAATACTCTCTGCATTTACTTCTTGATTGACTACCATGTACATCAGAATTTTCTGTATAAGTATGCAGATAGACTGTAACTTTGATGAGAACTGCATAAGTATCGTGGACACTTTTGACAGAGATAGAGTTTGGTACAAATCAGTCTTTCATTTCTGACTTAGACGTTTGTTAGGAATTTTTAATTGCCATTAATTAAAATAAATGGAACTTTTTACGATGATGGTCCTTGTATCTATCAGCATCCTGTGATATTGTTTGCCACTTTTAATTGTATTTTAATTTGATGATAGATGAAAAGGCCCCGACTTTCTCTGTATGTATTTTATGATAAATTTTCAATGTGAAAGGATCTACTGGACATTTGTTTTAATTATGAAAAACACATGTTATCTGTCTTGAAAGTAAGTCACTCGGTATATAAGAAATTGATAACCAATAAAAGTCGTAGTGATAAAAAAAAATCAACTGTTTTTGTTATATTGCACTATGCAAGTACATAAGTCAACTGGGTTCTAGAATTGTGTGTGTGTGTGTGTGTGATCCATGTGGATGGTTTCAACCCACATCCAATATTTGAAATATATTTCAAATATTGAAAGTGATTTAGCATAATGAATAGTAGTGTCACCCTGGTAAAATACTAGCTGCTTCCTACCGTCTCGGCTAGGGAGAATTTCTCTTTAGCTCATTCGGTAGAGCGTAAGACTAGTAAGCCAGAGGTCCCGGGTTCGACTCCTAGCGGAGGCATTGAAAAAATAATGACCTCTGTAGACATAACCCTGTCATTCATGATATTTTAATACAGATTCCTCTCATATCCCCATACAATTAATTATAGAAGAAACTGTACTACAAACACACTTAGTGTGAATTCTCGTCTATAACAAGTCATCTTTATGTCGATCATGTCAAATGCAACCTATTTTTTTGCCTATGTATGATTGTAACTAATTTCTTTCATTGCTGGTAAGGTCGGATTCTGCCAAAATCAAAGCTTACTCAAACAATAGCTGTCTTTTCTTAAATTTTAGTCACAGCAGGCCTGTAACTCCCCTTATGTAAGCCCCAGGTACATCCCGTCTATTTCATTGTTAGTGACAAGGAAGGGAATTTTAAATATTGAGGTATCATTGATACTTGAACTACACTTGTAACTAGAACTGTCATCCGGAGGATAACTAATACCCCCCGCAGATGCTGGTTCAGCAATGCAAACTTTCAATGAAATCCACCTGTTGATTTAGCACAAAGGGGCATAACTTTATCACGAAGTGTTGAAATCAAAAATTAAAATGCCAGTGCACAACTACATAGTTTCAATAAAATCTTCCTGTTTGTTAAGATGGAGTTTTTCGGACAAGTTGTTTTGCATAAAGGGTCAAAACTTCCTTAAAAAATGTTGAAATCTTAAAATTAGAATGGCAGTGCACAACTACATTATATACTTCCCATTCTAGTGAAGTTTCAATAAAATCTGCCTGTTAGTTAAGATGGAGTTTTCTGGACAAGTTACTGTGGACGACATACAGACAGGGTGATTCCAGTATAACACACACACACACACACACACAGACACACACACACACACCTCCTAACTTCGCTGCAGGGGGTATAATAATGACAAACAGTGAAAGTACAAGTACATTGGTGTATAAACACATGTCAGACTAAATACTCTCCTGTTCCAACTCAGGAAAAAACGGTGTTTTCACTACAAGGCAATTCACAATGATATGATTTTGATATGCAAGTAATCTTTCAAGATGTCAATACATGTATTAATAAACTAAAACAGAGTTTGCAACAACAACAAAATATAGCAGCTCTTATTTCTTTTAATGGGAGAGCAATGTTGATATTTAGCAATGTGGTTATTATTGAAGCAGCAAAAATGTGAATAGCTTACCGGTATTCTAATGATGGCTATCGCACAAAAGACAGCTATTTCAAGTTTATACGAAGGACTAAATATCTAAGGAGGAACTGTTTGGAGAAAAGTTAAATAAAGATTTATGATAAGAAATATATGATATACATCATAATACATGTACTGTGTAACTCATCAGTCTGGATTCTCAGTTCCTCATTGAAGGATTTAAACTACCAGAAATTCTATTTGACAAGATCCTCATTGAAGGATTTAAACTCCAGGAATTAGATTTAACTCTGTCCTCAGTTAAGGAGTGAAGCTCAAGAAATTCTATTATGACTACATCCTCAGTGAAGGAGTGAAGCTCTAGGGATTCTATTTGACTTTGTCCTCAGTGAAGGAGTGAAGCTCCACGGATTATATTTGACTGTCCTCAGTGAAGGATTTAAACTCCAGGGATTCTATTTGACTCCATCCTTTGTGAAGGAGTGAAGCTCCAGGGATTCTATTTGACAAGATCCTCATTGAAGGATTTAAACTCCAGGAATCATATTTAACTCTGTCCTCAGTTAAGGAGTGAAGCTCCAGAAATTCTATTTTTGACTCCATCCTCAGTGAAGGAGTGAAGCTCTAGGGATTCTATTTGACTCTGTCCTTAGTGAAGGAGTGAAGCTCCAGAAATTCTATTTGACTCCATCCTCAATGAAGGAGTGAAGCTGTAGGGATTCTATTTGACTCTGTCTTCAGTGAAGGAGTGAAGCTCCAGAAATTCTATTTGACTCCATCTTCAGTGAAGGAGTGAAGCTCTAGGGATTCTATTTGACTCAGTCCTCAGTGAAGGATTGAAACTACAGGGATTCTTTTTGACTCTATCCTCAGTGAAGGAGTGAAGCTCTAGGGCTTCTATTTGACTCGGTCCTCAGTGAAGGAGTGAAGCTCCAGGGATTCTATTTGACTCTCCTGTACCTCAGATTTCCATATTTTCTCCATAAAAAAAATATGGAAAAATATGAATGGGATTATTTGGACATTAATTTCCGCATTTATTCTGTATTTCTTTTCAAAATATGGAAAAATTTGGAGAATATATGGAAAAAGGATGAACAAAATACGGAGAAACGAAATACGGAGAAATATGGAAAAAAAATGGAAAATGAATGCTGACACTAGATAATGCAGATAAAGAAGGAATTATGGGTAAATGAGAATTCAAAATACATGTACAGCAAAAATCATGCACTGTTTACATTCAGTATTTGAATCATTGGATGAGATTTACAGCTATATCTACAAATTATCCCTAATTTAAGTTATTATGGTTAAACCATAACAAAAAGTCAACTATTTCAACGACTTAATGCCCAAGCCTCAGCCACCATAAAATGACAATTTTGGGAATGTTTAAAATTGACAATTGTTCAAAATTTCACTTTTCAATAATTTACCATGAAGGTTGGCAACATTATAATTTGTGCACATTTTTAATGTTTTGTTAACAATATTGCTAATCAGTAAGACATTTCCATGTATTTTTCCAGCATATATATAGGTGTTCTGATTGTCCCTGATATTTAAGATAAAAAAGAAAACCTACCCTGGTTAAATTCAAGACCTAGCTAACTTTCAAAACAGTTCAAACCTTAAAATTAGATCATTGTTGGAATATAATGCATCTCATGACTTTTACATTCAAAGCAAGAATCTATAAATCATAAGCACCAGGGATTCTATTTGGCTTGATCCTCGTTGAAGGATTTAAACTCCAGGGATTCTATTTGACTCCATCCTCAGTGAAGGATTTAAACTCCAGGGATTCTATTTGACTTGGTCCTCAGTGAAGGAATGAAGCTCCAGGGATTCTATTTGACTCAATCCTCAGTGAAGGATTGAAGCTCCGGGGATTCTATTTGACTCAGTCCTCAGTGAAGGACTCTGTCCTCAGTGAAGGAGTGAAGCTGTAGGGATTATATTTGACTCCGTCTTCGGTGAAGGAGTGAAGCTGTAGGGATTATATTTGACTCTGTCCTCAATGAAGGAGTGAAGCTCTAGGGATTCTATTTGACTCCCTCCTCAGTGAAGGATTTAAACTCCAGGGTTTCTATTTGCCTCAGTCCTCAGTGAAGGATTCAAACTCTAGCAATTCTACTTGACTCTGTCCTCAGTGAAGGATTCAAACTCTAGCAATTCTACTTGACTCAGCCCTCAGTGAAGGATTTAAACTACAGGGATTCTATTTGACTGAGCCTTCAGTGAAGGATTTAAACTCCAGGGATTCTATTTGACTCGATCCTTGGTGAAGGAGTGACACTCCAGGGATTCTATATTTGACTTCTTCCTGAAAGAAGGATTGAAACTCCAGGGATTCTATTTGACTTTGTCCTCAGTGAAGGATTTAAACTCCAGGGATTCTTTTTGACTGAGCCCTCAGTGAAGGATTTAAACTCCAGGGATTCTATTTTACTCAGCCCTCAGGGTAGGAGTGAAGCTCTAGCGATTCTACTTGACTCTGTCCTCAGTGAAGGACTTAAACTCCAGGAATTCTATTTGACTTTATCCTCAGTGAAGGATTTAAACTCCAGGGATTCTTTTTGACTGAGCCTTCAGTGAAGGATTTAAACTCCAGGGATTCTATTTTACTCAGCCCTCAGGGTAGGAGTGAAGCTCTAGCGATTCTACTTGACTCTGTCCTCAGTGAAGGACTTAAACTCCAGGGATTCTATTTGACTTTGTCCTCAGTGACGGATTTAAACCTCAGGAATTCTTTTTGACGCCATACTCAGTGAAGGATTGAAACTCCAGGGATTCTACTTGACTCTGTCCTCAGTGAAGGATTGAAACTCCAGGGATTCTATTTGACTTTGTCCTCAGTGAAGGATTTAAACCCCAGGGATTCTATTTTACTCAGCCCTCAGGGTAGGAGTGAAGCTCCAGCGATTCTACTTGACTCTGTCCTCAGTGAAGGATTTAAACTCCAGGGATTCTATTTGACTCGGTCTTCAGTGTAGGAGTGAAGCTCCAGGGATTCTATTTGACTCCATCCTCAGTGGAGGATTTAAACTCCAGGGATTCTATTTGACTCGGTCCTCAGTGAAGGAGTGAAGCTCCAGGGATTCTATTTGACTCGGTCCTCAGTGAAGGAGTGAAACTACAGGGATTCTATTTGACTCTGTTCTCAGTGGAGGATTTAAACTCCAGGGATTCTATTTGACTCAGTCTTCAGTGTAGGAGTGAAGCTCCAGGGATTCTATTTGACTCCATCCTCAGTGAAGGATTGAAACGCCAGGGATTCTATTTGACTCGGTCCTCAGTGAAGGAGTGAAGCTCCAGGGATTATATTTGACTCGGTCCTCAGTGAAGGAGTGAAGCTCCAGGGATCTATTTGACTCGGTCCTCAGTGAAGGAGTGAAACTACAGGGATTCTTTTTGACTCTGTCCTCAGTGAAGGAGTGAAGCTCCAGGGATTACATTTGACTCGGTCCTCAGTGAAGGAGTGAAGCTCCAGGGATCTATTTGACTCGGTCCTCAGTGAAGGAGTGAAACTACAGGGGTTCTATTTGACTCTGTTCTCAGTGGAGGATTTAAA